ACTGGCAGCTTGAGACTCTTCCGATCCAAAATGGAGCTATAGCACCACTGAAGAACGTACTCAGCGTTTCTTCCGCGGGCAAAAATCGATACCTCTTTCATTTCAATTCTTTCAACTCACTGACCCAATGGACTGCGGCAATTCGCCTCTCGATGTTCGAACATACGTCTTTGTACGAAGCTTACACCGGTTCATTGATTGCAGCGAAAGGAAGGAATCTCAACGGAATCAACACAATCCTGGCCCCTACCAAGTTCAAGTACGAAGATTGGGCACGTGTGCGATTTGGAGCAGGAACCCCGTGGAGACGGTGCTGGTTTGTGATCTGCCCGCCAGACGAAAAAGAGCTCCAAAAAGCGCGGAAAGTGTTGAAGAAATCGGCTTATGACCGCTTGTCAATTCCTGTTACCGGAAGAATCAAGTTTTACGAGACGAAGAAGACGAAAAAGGCGATTCCTATTGCAACGGTTACCCAGGTTTACTCGGCATATGCGATTTATCCACAATCCAAGGCTCTGATTGATGCATCCACCCTTGTGAAGTTGGAAGGACGAATTACCACACATTCGCCTGATTCTTCCTCAGAGGGACTTGTCTTTGTCATGCCTGAGCCGCATGCTGCGGTTTCTGGATTCGAGATGATGCTGCGGTTCCTTTTCCCGACATTCGACACTTTCAATCTCTATGGCCGTCCTACTCGCCTGGTGGCAGACACTAATCACATTAAGAGCATTATGTTTGCTTTCCCCAAGGAGCGACGCTACGGCTATCTTGATGTGCTGGATATTGCCAGCCTTCTTCAAACACCCGGAAGCCAAGAATGGAGTGAAGCTCAATGGAGAAAACAGCTCAAAGAGGCAACACAGCGTCGAATTTCATCCGGCAGGAGCAGAACCAATAGTGTCAACAGCGTGAGACCTCGCTATCGCTCGATGTCTGGCCGACACAGCGATATCCCTAAGGACTCTACTCGACGCCAGTTTGCTGGTCTCGAGAACAAACCCGAATTCAGCAATTCTACTGAGGCGATTATTCATGAAGTCCCCCAAAACGAGGGCTCAGCCGTTGCGTATCACAACCGCGGGCTTTCTGATACCACGGGCTTCAACGCTGGCTCTCGGCTAGGCCAAGGACCTCTGGTTGAGAGCTCACCCGACTCATCTTCTCAGGATCTGATGCACCGCGGTGTTCCAGCGGTCGATCCTATCGCTGAGAGTACCAGCTCCGGAAGCGACCCAAATCTCGGCCATTTCTATGGCCCGCCAGTCGAAGATCAGCTCCCTCCACGCACCCCACCGGCTCCTGTTGCAACCCCACCCGAATTTTCGCATGGACCCAAAGAGATGCCCACTAATCGGCCAGAGGCTTCTTCGGAACAGAGGTTGGCAAACAACCGGATGTCTCACGCAACACTTTCCCAACTCACATCGGTCGGAACGATGGGGCTGAGCGCGGCAGCTGCCGGAGCTGCATGGAAGAGCCACCAGGCACAGACTGCGAATAACAAACAGCCCCAGGACAGGAGCTTGAACAATGTCTACAATCCGGACCCTGTTGCGTCCACCAACTCTCTTGCAACTTCATCAAGTGACGAGGGCCTCGGTCTTGCATTCCCGCTCCGACCTCCCACAGTTCCGGAGCATCGCCCGAACACACCTAGTACTACCGGTAGCCCACGGCGGTTTTCTCCCCAACAGTATTCCCCTCAACGGATGCAAATCGACTCCAACAAATCCGTGCGACGCAAGCCACTTCCCCAGCAAAACCTTTTCGGGGTAGAGCCACTCTCACCAAGCGAACCGAGCTACGATGATCTTCGCCATACCCTTGATGAAGATGCGCTGAATAAAATTGCCCCTCATCTTCCATCCCCAGTCTCATCTACTGGAAAAAGAAACGTAAATGAGGACGAGAGCATTTATGATGATGCATCGACGGTTTCGCCTGACTATGCTAGCACCCACGGTTCTGTCTACAGCAAGAAATCCGTTGCGTCGACCAAACCTAGAATGGGTGTCATGAAGACTGTGGGAGTCCCCGCAGTCAAGGATTATGTCATTGGCGATGCTCGTTATGCTATGGATAAGCCCCCGACCTCGAACCCGGATATTCCCACTGTTGACTTCGGCCCAACTATGACTTATATGCCTACCACCGGGCGCCCAACCACATCAGACACCCTAAGAAGACCCGGCCATCAACGCAACGATTCGTCGGGAACCAAATTTTCGGTTCCTGCTCAAGCAATCGATGCTAATCCCCGGCCTTCCAGCCGGGATGAATTTCGACGGAGCGTGCTGTGGCAGCCTGGCATGGCTTCCGGTCGTCCTGTCACTCCGGGTGGAGGTCTCACCCCGGAGCAGTTCGTGCAGCAACGGGCGGCACCCAGCCCCCCGATGCAGCTCCACAATCGCACCCCTTCAAATCCCATGTCAGTGCAACGCCCGGTATCTGGCGACTGGACACAATATGCCCGTCCCAATTCGCCCATGAACACTCAGCGGGATCCCAACTATCGACCTTCGTCTCGCGGTGCCCAGACTATGCTTAAACAACACAACGATGCTTCAACCAATCTTTCCGCTCGTGAACAGGAGCATGTTGCCCGCATGACTGGCTCGTCATTCTTCAATTTGTCAAATGACAACCGGAAACCACAGGCGCCGGTAAACCCTATGGGCCTTGTATCGCACATCGACGCTCGGGAGCGCGAGAAGCGTGAAATGAGGGAGGGAATGTCGAACCAGGCGGTTCAGCAGGCCATTGCGCACCGTCAACAACAATTGATGCAGCAACCTATGATGCACCAGCAACAGTACGCGCCTCAACAGTTCTCCCCGCCGTTCGCACCTCAGCAGATGCAGCCCCAACAGGCTGGCTCAGTGTATCCGTCCTCTGTATTCCCGTCTCAACATGTTCATCAACAGTCCATGTACAACATTCCGGGTGCCAGCCACACATGGGATGCCCTAAACCAGACAATCCGCCCTGACGAACCCCGTCGATCATCCTGGTACGGACAGCTTTCGCAAGCTCAAACACCGCCTAGCTATCAACAAAGCCAGCCCTACGGTCAAGAACAGAGGTACTACAGCTATGCCAAATAGACTTGCTCTTTCTTCCCTCGGTTCTGACTCTGTCCTCCCATCTTTTCGTCACTACCTCGACTTTCCTTTCTGTTCTTCCAACTCCTCATTCCTTGCATATCATTAGCAGTATTTTTTCATTATGTTCAACTCGCCATTCTTGCATACTTATCGACCTTTGCACCTGGCTTCCAAACCGTTCCTCTTGCACGCGGCCCTTCTTCCACTCGTCAACATCGCTCATTATCATTTCCTTAGCTTTTCATTGCTTTTTCTTTTGCATCACGCATCCAGCCGGAGTTCCAGATGAGCGTGGTGGGATCGTCCCTGATTTTTTTACGCGAGCCGCTTGCTTATCTATCATTTCATTGGGGTTGCCTTGTACTCGCTTCTTTTTCATTCACATGTTTGCTTCAACATGTAGATCAGACTCATGGAAATATGCGCCTGTATGTACGCGGTATAGATTGACCATGGATATCCAACCAGGCGATTACTGTTTGTTTTTCCACATTTTTTCTGTTATAAGAAGTGTGTAGTATTAAACAAAGTATGTACATCGTAGACAGGTACAGGTAGTTACGGTCAAAGAAGGTATGGATGATTACAAGCTCGGATGTAAAGGATGGTCCCCGGAAGAAAGTTTAAAAAGTAGACGGCCGCTTAATCGGCCTTGTGATGTCTTTTTAGTAGTATTTTTTAGTGGTCTTGGATATTCTGTTTGGGACATGGATGTCTTTAAAATATGTTGTATTCCTTCTCAGCTTCATAAGTAGGCGACAGAAAAAGCCGGAAACAAAAGCATACTTTGTGCAAGAGACTTTTCTATGTATAACATTTGATGTAAAGCTCCGACATACGAGACATGAGACAACGTTATAAAGTTTATATTCCGAACTTACGAAGGGTAATCCCTGATTTCAAGTTCGAAGACAACCTGAGAGTCACGATGTATACAATCGAAATATCTAGTACTCGAGTCCTATTACTTCTAAAATTGTGGCATGGACCGATCCAGAGCAAGTTCCAATGTGAGAAGTTCGTAAGATATGTAACCTATGACATGTTCCACACTTTTAAAAGTTATTAATCTGCCATATCAAGTCCAGATTTGGCATCCCGCGCTCTATAGTTCACACAAAAATAGTAAGCCGAGCGCAAAACCCGGCCAATCAGGAACAAGGAGCGCTATAACTATATGCATCTATAGTATGATCTATGAAAACTCTTTTTATATACAATTATAGCCCAGCATTCTCTATTGGCTTATATGTTATGCTTAGTCTGCGTCATGCCTTATTAGCTGTAGTCTGGTGTGACGTACCCCCCGCACTTTGTTGGATGTGCTTGGATCTTTGGTCTTAGGGCTGTCTTCTATGATAGTTGGATATCACGTGTTGATGGTTTTGTACCATCAATTGTCTTGCTGGAAATGATATAGATGTGTTACATAGAAGAATCATACCAAACAAGACACCATATGGCGGCATTGAACATATCCCCAATATTATTGAATCTCAAGCAATACATCTGATTGTAAGAGGCTGCGTGGAGTTCCAATTCCACTGACGTAACTGAGCTGGGATGACGTCACTGGGGTTACCGACCGACCCGTCAGCCGCTCGACCAATACCAGAGAGGGAGCAAGTTTGCCCAGGTTTCAGTGAATATCATTGGATGTTGGATTCAAGGTTGTATACTTGTATGAATCCTAGTGATAATCGAATGGACATGGCCTCTATGCCGGTATATAAGGGGTATGTCGTTCCTCGACAGGTTCATAACCCTAATATCATCTACTTATCTGCATACATAGAGCCATTCTTCTCTTTATTCTCTCTATGTTACCGTGGTGAACCCGATATATCTACACAATAGACCTTACTCAAGACAGCCTGCCAGAGGGCTGTCCCAATGGACTCCCCAGTCTCCGAGAAGCCAGACGCATCAAGCTTCAAAGATGAAGCCAATCCACAGGGCAATATAATCAAAACAGAACGGGGTGCCGACACCAACGTCGAACATGCCTCCGCCTCCGATACCGCAAGCCACGAAGATAAACCCGAACTGCGTACTGGCGGCAAGCCCGTGCTAACAGAAGACGACTGCTACGAAAAGCTCGGTTTCTGCTTCCCAGTATGGAAGAAATGGATGATTCTCAGCGTCATCTTCGCGGTTCAAATGTCCATGAACTTCAACACGGGCGTCTACGCCAACGCCGTCCCCGGTTTGACCGAAGAATTCCACATTAGTGAACAAGCCGCGCGAGTCGGACAGTGCGTGTTTCTAGTTGCATACGCGTTCGGATGTGAGCTCTGGGCACCATGGAGCGAGGAATTCGGCCGCTGGCCCATCATGCAGCTCTCCCTATTCCTTGTGAACATCTGGCAAATTCCCTGCGCCCTCGCACCAAATTACGGCACCATCGTCGTATGTCGTGTCCTCGGCGGGCTCAGTTCCGCCGGAGGCTCAGTGACCCTCGGTATGACAGCCGATATGTGGGAAGCAGATGACCAAGGCTACGCAGTCGCCTTTGTGGTTCTCTCGTCGGTAGGCGGATCAACCGTTGGACCCTTTTTCGGCGGTATGATCGGCGAATGGCTCTCATGGCAATGGGTATTCTGGATCCAATTGATCGTCGGTGCGGTGACGCAAATCATGCACTTCATCATCGTCCCAGAAACCCGCACGACGATCCTAATCGACCGCGAAGCGAAACGTCGCCGCAAGAATGGAGAAGACATCTACGGTCCGAATGAACTCAAAACCCCACGTCTAGACCTCCACGACGTCCTACGAATCTGGATCCGACCATTCGAGATGTTCATCCGCGAACCAATCGTCCTCTTTCTCTCCCTCCTCTCCGGTTTCTCCGACGCTCTTATCTTCGTCTTCACCGAGTCCTTCGCTCTAGTCTTCGAACAATGGTCCTTCAGCACCCTAGCCGTCGGTCTAACCTTCGGCTCAATCCTCATCGGCTACGTAATAGCATACGTAATATTCTTACCGGACATCCACCGCCAAATTAAAACACGACGCAAATGCGGCACAGCAAGTCGTCTCGCCGAGCGTCGTCTTCTCCTCCTCCTCTTCATCGCACCCCTCGAACCAATCGGCCTCCTTGGCTTCGCGTGGACATCAATGGGTCCGCCAATCCCCTGGATTGCGCCATGCATCTTCGCCTGCTTGATAGCAATGGCAAACTTCGCAATCTACATGGCAACCATCGACTACATGGTTGCGGCGTATGGGCCATACTCTGCGTCTGCGACGGGTGGTAATGGCTTCGCACGAGACTTCCTCGCTGGTATCGCGACCATGTATTCTGTCCCCATGTACCAGAATATGGGGAGCAAGTATCATCTCCAGTGGGCGAGCACGCTGCTCGGCTGTGTGGGGTTCTTGGTCTTGATTCCGATTTATGTGTTCTACTGGAAGGGTCCGGAGATCCGGGCGAAGAGTAAATTCGCGCAGCAGCTTGCTGCTGACCGTGATAGGAATGTTGAGAGTAGAAGGACTAGTCGGGCGAGGGCTTCAATTGTGGCTTAGTTGTTGTGTTTGGGGTTGTTGTATTATACTTAGCCGTTGCTTGTATTTATATTTATGTGACTACCTTTGGTAGATGTATGTATGATCTAAGATAATGTTTAACTTTCAGAGTATTACTTTTGCATCGTGTTGAGAATCCTAGTTAATTCGCAGTAATTAACATGCGCGGTAGCAAGGGAAGGAGCAGTATCAGCTCTGTTTTCCTGTGAAAGAGCAGTGTGAGACAGAGACGAAAAGAGATGAGTCTTATTCAAGACAGTGACAGAAATCGAAGGGACCTATGAACAAATCAAGAACAGAAAACGGAAGCGAGTCAATGAAATATTTCTCTCCTCTTTGCCCATCACATGACCATCCAATCATCATGAAATCATCTATGGAATGCCTCTTTAATCTTGAATGGTGTTTGTCTTAAAATTTATAAAAACCTAGGGAAATGTATACTTCCGAAAAGGGAAGATAGGATAGTGTCACGTGTTTGTGGATATCAATCCATCAATCCCTCAATGTACAATTCAATCAGGTCCTAGCTGCAAATGTATTCTTCAATCACAAAGAATCGATGTTATTGATAAATGAATAATTACATCTTAGCTCCAAACAGCGCAATGGCAAAACATTTATAAAGGTATCTCAAAAAACGCCACAAGTGCCAGCTTCTCTCGCTTCCGTGTCTCAACTCGCCTCTGTACCCCAAAAAGCATCTACATCATGCTAGAATAGATCATCCCATGCAAAAAGATGTTCCGTAAATACTAGATCTTATCTGATCTCTGACTAGATACTAACATCTAGCTCGAATGCAGCTTCTTGACGCGCATAGCGCCTTCATACAGACCGCGGTCCAAAGCAGCAGCGACAGTCAGAGTACCACCAATGATAGCACAGACACCAGTAAGGAAATTGGTGAAAGACTTCGGGCGAGCCTCGCGGTTGATGACCTTCATAGGGGAGATATCGTAGTTGAAGAAGACGCCCGGAATACCGCCACCGGCATGTACGCGCTCCTTGTGGCCCTCCGCAGCATCATTTCCACCGGAAAGAGGACGCTTGTGCGAGGTGACCGAGTACTGGTGAGCCTCAATACTACCTTGAGTACCATAGGGGAGGCCATGGGAGCCAAGAGGCGTCTTCTCGTCGGCGTTGTGGACTGCGGTCGAGAACAGAGGATCCCAGCCCAGAGGCAAGTAAGATGTCGAGACAACCTTGACAAAGTACATGAAGTTGTAGGCGGGCTCGTCAATCTCCTGCTTGGTATCGTCAAGTGGGTTGGTGTGGTGGTGGTCGGTCCATCCCCAGCGGCCTGCGAGCTCGGTGGGGAGCTGAGGCCCAAAGCGCAGCTCGTGGACCAAGTGGGACATCGTGTGCTGGTCCGCCGGGGCCGCATTAGGCACGATGTAGGCATCTAGATCGTGGACGTGCATATTACCAGTGGTGAAGCTGCGGCCGGGTGCAATGTGGAAGTTGCCCACCACTTTGTTAACCTTCAGCACACCCTCGATCCGGCATCCCTCGCGGCGCTGCTCGGCGAGTTTCGCCGCGTATCCTTCACGCGTGCACTGCTCGATATTGCTGCCGTCGCCGAAGGCCCATTGCTTCTCAGCGTAGGCTTCGCGCACTTCCTCACAAGTAGTACAGCATCCCGGTTTGATAACAGTGGGGGGAGGTGTTGCTCCACCACATTCACCACAGTATTCGGGATCCAGATGCTTCGCAGCTTCTGATGGGGAGTGTCTGGAAGGGACGATAATGAGGTTGTGATCACGATGTGAGGGTTTTCAGGTAGAAGGACTGGTACTTACAGGTCCAAAGACTGGACATCAATCACCTTGCCGCCTTCAGCGTGTGGGCTCAGGCGGACTTTGTTCACGCCATGGGCAACGCCGACCTGCTGCTCACCAGAGACATCCATCACGTCCAAAGTCAAGAGCTCACATGGTAGCCGAGGGAAGGTCATGTTCAAGTGGATTTCCATTCGCTCTCCTGCGCAGCAAAATTGAGTCGTTAGCGACCTTGCCCAACGCATTTTATCTTCTGCAGGTCGATCGTAGGTCCGATTGTCCGAACTTTATTCATACCTCGTGATTTGTCGACGACAAGCTCCGGCAGCACCACAACTCGTCGGTAGTCGGCCCATTCACCCCATACCAGCCACATAACAATCAAAAGCGAAGCGATTGTAATGACACCTCCGGAGTTTGTACGAATGCGGGCATCTTCAACGGTCTTGGCGAAGGCGTCTAGCCTCGTGAATCGCGACTTTGGGGGCATCTCGCCGGTCAATTGACAACCATATGGTGAAGCGCAAAAGCCAGGCGAGGGTTCGTGGACAGCGGCAGTCTATTAGAAGCCTGTAAAACAGAGAAAACACGAATATGTCAGCAGGGTGGTCATTGGATGCGCAAGCTCTATTGAACGAGGGTGACCCCATTCAGGTGATCAGACCCAAACAAACACAATAGAGTCAAGACAATAGGAAAGGCATCAATACCAACAATATAGTTCGAGTGAGTCAATTCAAACTCAATGCGACTGAATCTTCCAGGCACCTGACAAGACAAGAATAAGGCCAATTTGAAGCCTCCAAGTGGCTAGGCATACTTAGGGCCGATGTATGAGGAGTACTCGTGAGGACAGACGACAGCATATGATTGGTCTGCGCGGAACATATGGATGAGTCATCGCCTAAACTGGACTAGTAGCAGACGATGCCGCCTCATCACGTGTCAATCGTCACTTTTTCTTTGAACTCACTTTACTATTCACGGTCTTATTGTTCTTTGGTCATTCATTGTCACTTTCTTATTGTCTTGCAGCTGCACTACATAATCTGCAACCCCCTCTCTTCTCCAGTCTTTTCAGTTTGCTCTTTCTTTACCTCCCACCATCCCGAGTCAACATCTACACTGCGATTTCCTCACATGCGAACAACTTCTTTCTGCCTGATCTGAGGCGCATAGCGCGCTGCTCGCTTCAACTTAGCAGTTTCAGCTTTCTTTCATATTACCTCCTTTTACAAGAACCTCCGATACCCCACCAGTTTCTCAAATTTCTTCTCCAGTCACCATGAAGAGCATGAAACCTCGTCGCGGCGGCAATGATCGCGGGGGAATTCGCAAGCGGGGCGCTACTCGTACCGACCGAGATGGCGACATGGACATGGAGGCGGGCGGTGCTCGTGGAAAGAGAAACCGTGCCGACAAATCTGCCCTAGGTGGTCGCGCCGCCGGCACAGGCGCAGGTGGCCGAGCTGCAGGAACTGGTAACCGCGCCCAGACTCGCAACAGGCTTATGGATGCGGATGTTATCCAGAGAGCCATTTCCAGTGCCGATGGCCAAGCAAACATTCACCGCGGTGGCAGGAAAAAGACCGGCGGTGATCTGGAACCATTCAGTGTCCGAGGATGGAAAGAAAGCAAGGCGGCATCCAACCGTGATGGCGGCCTCGAGAGCCTCATTGCATTCCTCGAACGACGTATGAATTCTTTTATTAAATCCGGACCCCGCGCAAAGATTACAAAGGTATGTTCCTCGTTCACAATGACGGTCACCAACATCGATCCTCGACTTCCCTCGCTTCAGTGTCCTCTCGTTTTCGAGGACGGTCCTCCTACAAAACGACGATCGACACATTTTGGGCTTTTTGGTTTCTTCCCCTTTGGGTGACCGTGGTTTTCAAGGTCCCTTCGCACCCTTCTAACATTCAAATTAGTCGCGCACTGAAGGTGACACCCTTGTGGCATTCGTTCGACCTGATCTAGCAGGTCACATGCTTCGCATCAACAACAATGTCTTCGCTGGAGCTCATGTCACTATTGAACCATACACTGCCGCCACCGCACTTGACAATGAACTGGCCGCAGCGGCCCCCACCCCCGGCTCGACCGCCGATACCAAGCTTAGGATGACTACTATCCTCGGCAAACGCTTCTTCCCTGCCACTAAGCTACTTGACTTGTCAAAGATGGTGGACGATCCCGAACTCCACGACCTGGGAGTCTTTGACACCATGTCTACCACGTCTAAGTTCTTCCCTGCTCTCATGAAGGTCTGGGAAATGGGCTTCAAGGTTGCATCCGAGCGACGTGAGGCGGTTGAAAGTGTCAGTCTGGCGGGAAACAATCTCAGTAACATCACCTCCGTGACGACCCTTGCACAATCATTCCCCGATATCCAATATCTGGATCTCTCAAACAACAACATCAAAAATGCGCAAGCGATGACTGCATGGAGATGGAAATTCCGCAACCTTATCTTCCTCGACTTGACTGATAACGAGATCAGTTCCGATCCGACTTTCAAGGACACCATGCTCAAGTGGTATCCCAAGCTGCAGACTTTGAACAACGTGCAAGTGCGAACTCCGGAAGAGGTCGCCGCTCAGAAGAAGACACCGATCCCCGTCTTGCCCCCTCACTTTATTGACGAATCTCAAGTCGGCGAGAACTTCGTTCGTGCTTTCTTCCCTGGCTATGACACCGATCGCAACAGCCTCGTCAGCAGCGTATACGATGATCAATCCACTTTCTCGCTGAATGTAAACACCACCGCTCCCCGGGCCGGTCAAACCGAGACCGCAGGTTGGGGTGAATACATCAGAAAGAGCCGAAATCTTGATAAAATCAGCCACCTTTCCGCACGGATGTCGCGCTCCTTCAAGGGCGTTGAGAAGATCCGTGAGGTTTTCAATGAGCTCCCCCCTACTCGCCACCCCGACCTTGTCGCAAAGGCAGAGCAATGGCTTATTGAATGCCACCCAGTCCCACATCTCCCCGACCCTACTGGACAGAGCCCCACTGGTGTTGGTGGCCTCTCTCTCATGGTTCATGGACAACTTGAGGAGAGCGTTGGTGGCAAGATTGAGATCCGCAGCTTCGACCGAACCTTTATTATTGGCCCCGGTAACACCCCCGGTGGCATCCGAGTCGTCAGTGAGATTTTCTGCCTGCGCGCTTACGGTGGACATGAGGCATGGTCCCCTGAGATCCAGGCACTTTCTCAAGTCCCCCAGGTTGCAGCTCCTGGTCCTGTTTCCACTGCGACCCCTACTCCCCCCGCAGCTGTACCGAGTGGCACTGTTGCTGAAGGATATGGCTTGCCCCGACCTGGCAAGTCCGATACCCAGCTTCAGCAGGAGCAGATGATCACCCAGATGAGTGCCAAGTCGGGCATGACTTTCGAATACTCAGAGATGGCCCTCGCGGGCAATGGCTGGAACCCCGAGCTTGCTTGGAAAAACTTCGAACAGCTCAAGGTAAGCTAATTCCAAGGATGGGCCCTCAATTTACCACCGAATGATAACTAACGACACTCTACAACAGGCCACCAATGCCCTTCCTCCCACCGCTTTTCTTGCTCCGGCGTGAGCACTGGCTCTTCCAATGCTCTCTAGTTCCATTGAAAGCTTCCACGTCCACTCCCACTTCCATTGTTGTTAGCTAGTCAGTCTTATCTTGGGAGTGGCTCTGCAGAAGCCTAATGTATCTGATGTGACCAATAATTTTTTTTTTTTACTTGCATGGCTTCGGCGAATGGCACTGGTTTGGCAGCTTCGAGATCTGGACATGGGCCACTGGGCCCGGAACTTTATGAAAATCTTGAAAATCAAAAAATCAAATGAATCCTGTATGTCAAATTTTCGCTTATAATATAAGCAGCAAATTGTAGACTTGAGAATCTCGTGGGTTGTCTGTACCTGAAAACACTAAAGATTGCGGCAGTTGCGGAAGATGCCAAGCTGGCGCGCTAGAGCCATGCGGGCCGCGATCAACCCCCATTCACTTCTCCCTCCCACGAATTCCACATTGGCCTCACACAAAGAGACCCAGGGCAGGATGATTCTGGCGAGCTGATGGAATGACGATCACCGCCACAACTACCGGCCACATGTCGCCAAACGAGGAACCAAGCCTCGACGCCTTAGATGCGGGTGCGGAACAATTGACCTCTCGTGCTTCTGTATATGCTAACATAGGAGGTACATCCAGTGGACTACGATCCGATTGAACACTTGAATGCCGTTTTCTCCCATCCATCCACCCTATCCTCCGTTTCTCAGATCTCCGATGCCCTGAACGAATGCGAAGATGAGCTAGACGATAACATCGGCACGCTAGTGGAGGAGCAGGTCACCTCCAATGCCGATAGCGTGGAACGAATCCAGGTAGCTAAGGCTGACCTGTCAGAGCTGTTTAAGAAAATCGATGACGTGCGTGAGCGCGCAATCAAGACCGAACAGTCAATCACCGAGATGACAGCCGACATCAAGCAACTAGACAACGCAAAGAAGAACCTCACGCTATCCATGACGGCGCTCAAGCGCCTGCAGATGCTGACGACGGCGTATGACCAGCTCCAAGCTCTTAGTCGGACGCGGCAATATGGAGAATGTGCTCAGCTACTCCAAGCTGTCATTCAGCTCATGGCCCATTTCAAGTCATACCGATCGATTGACCAAATCGCAATGCTCAGTCGGAATGTTGCGGATATACAACGAGACCTCCAAGAACAGGTCTGTGAGGACTTTGAGCTAGCCTTCGCCAAGGGTGAGGTAGGCTCGAAACGCGCGATGCTCGCGGAGTCGTGTCTAGTCGCAGATGCTCTGGGTGAACACGCACGGTCCCGATTGGTGACTTGGTATTGCAATACACAGCTCCGTGAGTACCGGCAGGTCTTCCGGAACAACGAGGAGGCTGGATCATTGGATAACATCGCCCGCCGATATTCATGGTTCCGGCGCATATTGAAGATATATGACGAAGAGAATGCGGCCATCTTCCCAGCTTCGTGGAGGGTAAATGAGGTCCTGGCCAATGTCTTCTGCGAGGGTACACGAGATGATTTCAAGGGTATTTTATCCCGATCTGTACGAAGTGGACAGACAATCGATGTCAATTTGCTCCTCTCATGCTTGCAAGAGACGCTTGATTTCGAGCATTCTCTTGAGCGTCGTTTTGCCTCTTCGTCGCGTGCATCTGTTGATACATTTGCCTCTGCCGAACCGCCTGTATTCAACCAGTCAATTTCGGAGGCCTTTGAGCCATACCTCAGTGTCTGGGTCGAGGCCCAAGACAAACAGCTTGCATCCCTGATACCGAAGTACCGCCAGCAACCACTCCAAGTACCGGACGAGGAGGAATTCAACTCACATATTGTGATTTCATCCTCAACTGAGCTTTTCACTTTCTATCGGCACGCTTTGCAACAATGTGCTAAGCTCTCGACTGGTGGCAGTCTAGCGGAGCTGGCCAAGGTGTTCGCCAAATATCTGGACCAATATGCCCAGCAAGTACTGCTCCATTATATAAGTGAACGACCAACAGTTCACACGCCGTCTAGAGTGCCCTCGGTGGAAGATTACGTCTCGGTTTTGAACACCGCCGATTACTGCTACACGACTTGCACCCAATTGGAAGAGAAGATTAGGGGTAGATTGGATGAGAACTTGAAGCAGTCTGTGGATCTGCAAAGTCAAGCAGACTCTTTCATGGGCATTGCATCTGCTGCTGTACGAGGCCTTGTGCGCCAAGTCGAAATCGATCTCGAGCCTTCCTGGCGCGAAATGCGCAATACCCCTTGGGCAAAAATAGAGGCAGTCAGTGATCAGAGCTCATATGTGGGCGAGATGCTCTCCCGGACGAAGGAGAAGGCAACTGGAATTCTAAAGTTGCTGCATAAGCAGCAATATGCGCGTGCCTTCTCCGATCATCTGGTGGAGCTCATGTCGAGCCAGTTCATTAGCAATGTCTTCCAATGCAGGCCGCTTTCAGAAACCGGCGCAGAACAGGTATGATGTCCCTTATACGATGTCATGATATATCTTACTAACTCCGTTCATAGATGCTTCTTGATTCCTATACTCTCAAGAGCGGTCTTACGTCCCTGTTACCTGCTCCAGCGCCTGCCGGATTTGTCAAGCGTGTGAACGCCAGCTTCTTCAAAATCGAAACTCTCCTCAAAACCCTCCAGGTCCGGCCGTCACCACCGGAAGCTCTTGTGCAAGCATACCTCATCCACATTGCCGACCGCAATAACAACAACTTCCGCAAAATTCTCGATCTCAAAGGCATCCGCAGCCGCCAAGATCAAAACCACCTTGTAGAGCTATTCCAGCTTCACCGTGCATCAGATCGCTATGCATCTAGCCTCCAGCAGAGCAACCCAATCCTCGCCTCTCTCCAAGGGCCATCCGCCACCGCCACGGGCTCCGTATCCCAAGGCCTAGGTCTAGGCACCACGGCCGCCGCAGTCATGCCCTCACGTTTTGACGCCTCCATGCTCGGCTCTGCTATCATGTCCGCTGCCAAAGACGGCGTCGACCGCTTCGGAAACCCCAGTCTGAGCACTCTAGGTGCTGGGGCTACTGGAACAGCTGCATCTACATCTGGCGTGACCAGTCCATCAGGCGCCTTGTCCCCTTCCCTGGCCAGCTCCGCCCTACAATCTAATCCCATGCACACACCAACAGACAATGCCACAGGTAATCTCAACGAGAACCTGAAAAACATTGGTAAATTCTTCCGCCGCGATCTCGGCGGTTTTGGAAACCGGTTCGGGCGGAATACTGAGGATGGGGCGTAGGTCCTCACCTATTTTCATTCTGTTTTTTTGTTTCTTTTCTGGTTATATCTTGACTCGGGCGTGGATACCATTGTAGAAATGTTCTTTGCCGTTTTGGCTGGTTTGTTCGGGTCATTGCATGCCCAACGGTGTGTAGCTTATGTATGCTCAAGGCCCTCCAGGGCTGTCTTGAACTCATGTTTTGCAGTTGTATACCATTTGGATTGAATGCATTGAATGCCACATCCGTGTTATTTTGGATATAATTCCTCCATATTTCTCAATTGCACATATCAAAATCCAATCTATCTCCTGGGTGGGTCAGTTTTATTCGAAAATATTCTCTTTTAGTCCACGCCCTTCCAATGACATGTCCCGATAAGGAAGGGCTCTACACAGTAAAATATCTATATCGACTTTCTCCCTAGTCACCCACAACCTCTTCCTTTCCTAGTCCCAAGCCAACCCCAACCCATCAAAACACCCACAATGAATCCTCAAACCATCCAAGAACCCCAATCCCAGGGATACACCCTCCGCACACACCGACCAGGTGATATAGGCTTGATAACCCACCGACACGGAGTACTATACGAAAAAGAATACGGCTGGGGCACAAAAATGGAAGCGCTCGTAAGCAAAATCGGCGCAGAATTCCTCGACAACTATGACGCATCCACAGACCGGTGCTGGATCGCCGAGCGCAACGACGAGTTCCTGGGCTGTATAATTCTCATTCGAGACACAGATCCAGATGTCGTCAATACAGCTAAACTGCGTCTTCTCCTTGTGGAGCCTAGTGCGCGGGGCCTTGGGCTTGGCCGTGCTTTGATCGAGCAATGTACGCGGTTTGCGCGCGAGATGGGGTATGCGCGGATTCGGCTTTGGACGCAGAATGTTCTTGTTTCAGCTAGGAGATTATATGCAAAGGAGGGGTATCGGCTTGTTAGTTCTGAGGAGCATGAGTCTTTTGGGCAGAAGATTGTTGGGGAGTGTTGGGCGTTGGATTTGTGAGGGAATGGTTGTTATGTACAATATTCCTCATCCTCCGCAACGTTTGTGGTGTGGTACGAAGAGGGGATTGGGTTACTTGTCTCTTCTAGGAGAAGGCGGCTAAATGTAGAACTTGTATTAACCAAGGAGAAACATGCAAGAAAAGTACAGCACAAGAAAAAAAGGACATATATGAAAAGGGAAAGTTGTCACGTGGCGACGGCATCTGAAATAAGGTAAGTGGGCCTTTGCAGTGGGGAATCGCCAGGCCTGAACTCTATACATTCAAATAAGTCTAGCTACCCAGATGGGCGAATTTAGGTATCTTCGCCAGACTGGCTGTGGAGAGCCAACCAATACTCCAGTATTCATCTCTGCAGAGTGAGGGCGTATTCTGCATTCGTCATATCCTTTGTCTTGCGCTTGAAATCATACGCTAGCAAGGCCATCGTAGGATAGACATTGTACCAACAAGCAAAAATAAGACCAAAAACTTGATTGCCGTTCAGTTCTGGAAATTCCATTTCCCCAAATCGGCGATCCCATCCCACGGCGCTGAGGATAATATCGTCATAGGGTTGTTCATGACCATATACCATGAAGTATAGAAGTGCCCCAACCGCAACCTGTTCAGTCCTGGTAGAACAGAGACCGTATGTGCCTTTCGATAGACCAGCAAGTATTAGTTTGGCCCGTGGGGGCAAGGTACCTTCAAGTGGCTGTCCAATAGTTATATAACGACCAAAATCAGTCAGCTTCAAGTTAAGTTACTGTCAAGAATTCGCAACATTGTACATGTCGACAATGACACTCAAGATACTGATGGCAGATGAAGATGACGTGCAACTCCCAACTACATGTGTGGATGAGAGTATCGATTTGGCAGTGTTCCTGGGAAGGCTACAAGAGGAGCGCTTTCATGAAGGGACATTAACCAGTTCGGATATGCTTCAAAGGGTGGCTTCCAACTCCACGGACGACCATGGAATGCTGGAAGCATTGTTGAGAAAATGGAAAAACGGATACCATCACATACGACTTACTGTCCTTTGCCGTCGAGTTTGGTTCCTATGAAACTGTGAAGTTACTCTTAGAGAACGTACCCAGAGCCTCTCGATCGACTCAACTCTGGCCGCCTTAGCAACGACCAATCTCTTTTATACGCAGGAAACTGTCACTTTCCTATGTCTGGGGCTGAATCATGCAATTCAAGCTGCGGCGGAGACTTCTTCGGAGATGCTGTAGGCCGCTGCACAAAATGTGCTGCGTGATATTGATATCCTTGATTAATTGTTATCACGACTAAACGGGGCCAACCTCATAACGAGCAATGTGATGACAGTAGAGGTTCACACGATGGCATGGTGTTACTCTTGAAGATGGCGAATGGACGGGTTACAATTACACATGACCTGGCACTAGAAGCCAGCGAAGAATCGGGCATGGGGCAATGAGCTTCCTCTTTTGCAGGAAACAGAGCCTGGTGTTGCGATGTCATCGGACATCATCAACACAGCCATACAGTATGGCTCTGAAGTAACGGTTGACCGTCTAATCAACATTATGGAGAAGGCTGGTCTCAACCTGCCACTGCAAGATGCCAAGAGGGGCCAAAATCAATGTCCTTACTACTCGCACGGGTTGGAACTGTCATTGTAACGCCTGAAGTCAAGTGTTAAATAAACATTACGGAGAGAAAGATTTTAGAGAACGAGTTTTTTATTGAGCAACCATCTATTACGGCAGCTGCACAAATAGAGATAGCGAACAGGATTTCCCCCAGCCACCAACTACACGATTGTCTACGGCGACAACATATTGGCACTACTATCGCAGGTCGTATGAAGGGCATCTGTAATCTTGTCACAAGTTAGCAATTGTTTGCAAATTGAGTCAAATTCCAAGTCAAAAGACATGTGTGAGGGTAAAGGTATGGCGTCATCAAAAAATTAGAGTGTTGTTGTTGCATTATTTTAATCTTCAGAGCGCCCCGGAGGGGGGGCGTAATGCTCGGGGTTAAAAATTTATAATCATCCGCCAGGGTGGTGTGAGGTGGGGTGGGCAAGGGTGAAAAGAAATGGGGAGAGAATTGAAAACTCACCAATTCTGTGGAAACGGACAATGGGCGTAACTACGACCAGTATACGAGTCCTAGGTTTCCGAAGGAAATCCATTGCCAAGACATGTTGTTTCATTCCCGGTCGCTATTTCAAGCGCCGGTTCAAGTAAATCTAATACATGGCATTCGCATCCCGTCGAGGAGACGCTTAGTCGAAGAGACCGAAGCCCATGTCCTCATCGGACTCCTCCTCGTCCTCAGCGGGAGCTGCGGCAGCAGGGGCGTCACCACCGGTGGGGGCGGCGGCAGCGGCAGGAGCAGCAGAGGCGTACGCATCGGGGTTAGCGATGCGGTCCTTGAGGTCATCAATCTCAGCCCAGCTGTAGTCGGTGGCGACGGCAGCGGCGAGGACCTTCTTGTATCCGTTGACCAGGGAGTGGAAGACGGAAGGAAGGGTGGGGTAGTTGGCAGCCAGGGAGACAGCGGTGACGGTAGCAATAGCCTGGGAGAAGGCAGACAGGAGCTGCTCGTCGGTGATGTCGAGAACCTCGGCGCCGAAGCACTGACCGTTCTCGTAGACCTGGGTGATGGCCATACCGTAGGTGAACGGAGAGATGTTCAGCAGGTTAAGGAGGGTAGCCTCGGAGGCACCGACCTTGCTACCAGCCTCAACAAGCTTGAGGTCGGAGACAATCTCAATGGTACCACGAGCAATCTTGGTGGGGACACCGAGAGCCTGGAAGAAGGCAGTCTTACCGGGCTCCATACCAGTGTTACCGGCGGGAATCCAGACATCATCGGGAGCGAAGGCACCGGCACGAGCGGGGGCAGCGACACGGTTGGCAAGGATCTTCTCCTTGATGGACTTGAGGTCACCGTTGGTGAAGATGAAACCAACGTTGCCACGGACGTGGGGAAGGAGACGCTCCCACTCGGGGTTCTCGGTGATGAAACCCTTAAGGGCACGGCGAACCATGGTGTTCTTACCCATCAGGACGACGGCCTCACCACGGAGGGACATACGGATCTCGTGCATCTGCTGGGAGCTGACATTGTCAACTCCGACGATGAAGATGGTGCTGTACTCATTGAGACTGTGACATAGCTTGTTAGCAATTTTGAATCAAGTCAATTGCCAGGAGCCATTGAGAGGAAACTAACAGAGTACGCAGCTTCTCAAAGTAAGCGGTCTTGGATGCTGACTTGCCCCCCATTTCTTCTTGTTTTTAGTGAAGATAGGTTGTTTAAGGGAATTGTTGTGGTTAATGAAGGAGAAGAAAAGAAGAGCTGGGCGATTTCGGGAAAATTAATTTTGGTGGTGCGCTCGCTAGTGGGTCACGTGATGTTAAAAGTAGACCCGCCCAAAGGTGGACAGCCATGGCGGGAATTCGATCAGAGGGATCTCTAGAGCTCTGATGGTTATTTGTTGCCTTCTTCCCTACAATCAATACACCGTTGGACCATTTGAGAGCTCATTGATTATTTTCATTTTGTGAATCGAAGCTCTTCATGATGCCTGGTCTCCAACACCCGTTCCACTGTCTGCGATATGTCAACAGACAGTCAGCAGGCCAATCGGACATTCTTATTGCCACTGCTGGTCGCAATCTCTATTCTTACGATGCGTCCGGTGGTCAGCGTTTGGATGTGTGGCCTCAGCCCGTAGACGCCGATCCGGAGGATAAAAGCTCTGACGCAGCTCCCGCAGATGCATCTGAAAGCCAAGGCCCCCCAGAAAAGCGAAGAAAGCTGTCTTCGACCTCTGATGAACAAAAGGATGCCAAATCTGAGTCAAAACCTCAGGAATCGAAAAAAGAAGCTTCCAACTCCTGGACCAACATTCCTCTGGTGACTGTTGCCCATGGCAAATATGTAGTGATCATGACGTCCGAGGACAAATGTGTTCGAGTCCTGAGTTTGGACAACGAAGGCAAACTCCAGCAATTGAGTGCTCGGTAAGTGACTATATTACTGTTTACAAGCTCTCCAAGCTCATCATTTATAGTACAATGCCCAAGAAGCTCTCTGCGCTTACTCTGACTCCCGATGAGAATAACATCTTGACGGGTGACAAATTCGGAGATGTGTACACTTTCCCTTTGATTCCAAGCGGAGAATACGTGAAGGTCCAGGCCCCAGCGAAAACATATGAGCCAGCTGCCACAAACCTCACGGTGCACACGAAACGCAACCTTGAATCATTGGAGCAACAAATGCGACAGGCTGCTCTATCGAAGACCAACCCAGCAGAGCGAGTTGCGCTAAACTTCGAGCACCAAGCCATTATCGGTCACGTTTCTTTGTTGACGGACTTGATCTCCGTTACCCGGCCTGCGGACTCGACTGTTGGCAAGCGGGATTACATCCTGACTGCAGATCGTGATGAGCACATCCGTGTCTCCCGCGGTGTTCCCCAAGCGCATGTAATTGAGCAGTTCTGCTTTGGCCACACTTCATTCGTCAGCAGTCTGTGCGTCCCTTCGTTCCAACCCAAGGTTCTCATCTCGGGTGGTGGCGACAACTATCTGCTTGTATGGGACTGGCTCGAGAACCAGATCTTACAGAAAGTTCAGCTTCCTGGGGCAGAAGGAGAGACTACGGTGCGTGGCATTTGGGATGTTTCCCTTGCGCCTACCGCAGACAATGCCGATCCCGTGAAGGCTATCTTTGTGGCACTTGAAGGGTACGTTCCGATAGCTACTGATGTGTATAATTTTCCTAACATCGAGAGCAGATCTTCACAACTTCTTTACTACACTCTCGAAAGCAACAACACGATAACTCACCAATATACCCTTCAGCTTTCAGGAAACGTTCTTGCACTGGCTGGCCTTGGCTCAAGAGACTCTATTCTTGTTGCCGTGGATACTTTGCGGGAATCCAATTCGACAAGTACCTGGAAGTCGTCTTCCCAACCTCCTCTCGAAACCTTCCGGCTCAGTTCTGGAAAGTGGGTTCCTGTAGAGGACTCCATGGTCACCAAAATCAACTCCGAAGGCACCTCAAGTATTCCTACACCATTGGAGCAGAAACAGCAGAAGGAGCTCAATGATTCAATGTACAGTTTGGGCAACCTGCGGAAGAGAGATGAACCGTACGACGAGTAAAAGCATGCTTTTGATGAATGTACAGCAAATGATTAATTAGAGTTCCAAATATATACATGTGTAATGCAACAGTCTCCATAATATTTTATGAAAGTAAAAAGAGAGAAGAAAAGTGTCATTGTAAAATTCGTATTACGCTGGTTAAGATTATATTCTGAGGAATATTTCCTTGCCAGTTTTGTTGGGCCAACCTCCATAAACTCAACAATCAACCTCACGTACAGGATGAAGACTCAGCTCAGCACTCAGCCGTACACGCCCATTCCAGGTCCCGTGAGTGAACGGGCAACAGCCCATAGGGGCATCATTTTTCCACAAGCTGTCGGCACATTTCTCAACTGCGGCAAGCACCGTCTCCTTCCCCAATGAATTATCGCATTTTATACCGGTTACTTTCGCCTCATACACGTAGCCATTCAATGTTCCCCCATTCAGTTCCGTGCTATAAGTCAAGCTGCACGAAGTGATGGTGATATCATCTTTCGGTATATCTGTAGTAGATTGCTTAGGGCATATTCTTTATGGGGTATGCAACAAAGAAAAACAATTACCAATGAGGGAAGACCGGAGCTGTATGATTACAAGAGGTTCTATACTGTATAAAATCTGAATTTCTCTTAGGAACCATATTTTTTTTTGGCCAGCAAGGAGGTATATAGTTGCTTTATATCTACTATTCCTCCACCGAATTGACTAGCAAGTCAGAGTGTGTCATGACAGGATGATTCCCAAGGGAATGAGACATTATTAACTCATCACGGCAGCCTAGATCTGCTGAGGATCTCCCGCAGACGGTCCGATCCAATTGAACTCCAGTCATAATTTTTTTTTTTTTTCAGTTAGACTTACGGCGGTTAGAAGCAGATTGTAGCATGTTTAAGCTCTCGGGGGCTCCCGTGACGCGGCCTTTGAGCTACGGGGCAACCATAGTGCTATAATAGCAAGTAATGCTCTTGCTCGACAGTAGGAGTTCGTGGGGGAAACTCCTAATAAATATAGAAGAGCGGATAGATCAACCTCTGAAAGAGCAAGTTGTCGAAAGAGACTATGATGTGTCGGTGTTCAATGGCTAAACACACAACCATGCTTGTCAATTCGACAACTCCAATTCCAGCTATGATTTAAGGACGAGATATTACTTTATCAAGAATTAATAGTAAAAAGATACCTCGGAAAGGAACCGAAGCTACGAACACGGGTATAGGTAAACCGCCCACTTGCCACTCCAAATTTCCGATCAAATCGCGGACCGCGGTAACCGGACCTTTTTATGATCCCACTTCCCCCCCCCCCTCCATCCCACTTGCATATTTCATCAACAAAATGCAGGAACAATTTGAGCCTTTGAAGAACGATTTGCTGCTGAGGGCTGCACGGGGTATGCCCACTATGTGTATCTTGTTTTAATCGGAGCTGACAATCGCAGGTGAGAAGGTGGAGCGTCCTCCGATATGGGTTATGCGACAGGGTGAGTTCGGTTTATTCGTACACCACGTCCTCAACAAATTGATTGACCTTTTCTCTCTCTCTCTATTCAACAGCTGGCCGATACCTTCCCGAATACCATGAGGCGAAGGAGGGCCGCGACTTCTTCGAATGCTGCCGCACACCCGAAATCGCATCGACCCTGACCCTCCAGCCCATTGAGCGTTATGAAGGTCTCATCGATGCCGCTATTATCTTCTCCGATATTCTAGTCATTCCCCAGGCCATGGGTATGGTCGTGGAGATGCTGGACAAGAAGGGACCTCATTTCCCCGAGCCCCTCGACTCACCGACAGACGGGCAATACGAGAAGATCATGGCGAAGAATGTGGATGTGAAAGCGGAGCTGGACTACGTCTACAAGGCAATTACCCTCACACGATTCAAGCTCAAGGGCCGCGTGCCCCTGATCGGCTTCTGTGGTGCACCATGGACGCTGCTGTGTTACATGGTCGAAGGCGGTGGCAGCAAGCTCTTCGTGCAGTCCAAGAAATGGGTCTACAAGTACCCTACTGAGGCACAGGCTCTTCTGCAGAAGATTGCCGAGATCTGTGTGGAATACCTCGCCCTCCAGGTCGCTGCCGGAGCGCAGCTGGTGCAGGTCTTTGACTCCTGGGCCGGTGAGCTGTCTCCCGTCTCGTTCAAGTCGTTCTCCCTCCCCTACCTGCGCCACATCTCCGCCAACCTGCCCAAGCGGCTGCAGGAGATGGGCTTGGAGCCTGTGCCGATGACCGTCTTCGCCAAGGGCGCCTGGTACGCTCTGGATGACCTTTGTGATTCGGGCTACAATGTTGTCGGTTTGGATTGGCTGCACGATGCCGGTGAGGCCATGCGCATTGCCAACGGTCGTGTGACTATTCAGGGCAATGCGGATCCTGGCATGCTCTACGGTGGCCCTCCAGCTATCACTGCCACTGTTGAGCCCATGGTTGAGGGTTTCAAGAAGGGCAAGCAGGGATGGATCTGCAACTTGGGCCACGGTAAGTTAAACATAATTTGGGGCGGCATATCATTTAACTAATTGTCTCTCTACGCAGGTGTCACTCCGTTCGTCGATCCCGAGAACCTCAAGTTCTTCTTCGAAGAAATCCACCGCTTGACCGTATAATTGTGTGTTTGAATCTTAAAAGCGGTCGGCTTCTTCCCCGACTCAGATCAGAAAACTATATTGGATCTAAAAACATATCTTTTGGGCGTGAATATTTTCAATTCTCAGTATATTTAGGGCTACATATGCAGGCCTTATGAAATTAGACAGCGATATCCTCGTTCCTGTATAGCAGACATTACAGTTAGTCTTGATTATGAAATAGCCAACCGATGCAACTGCGAGCAGAGCAAGAGCTGCTTTACGTATTGCGATAGACCAAGCGCCAAACACAACATACCATAGTTCAGGCTTGTCCTTCATGAAGTTGGCCATCAATTCCTTGCACTCGGCATTATCCAAGACAACAACCTCCTTGCCCCTGTTGAGCAGAAGCTCCTCGCCACCCATGAAGCTCTGGTTCTCACCAACGACAACCCGCTTCACCTTGTAGAGGATGCAAGCACCGGTACACATATCGCAGGGCGAGAGGGTAGTGTACATAGTAGCACCCTCGTAGGCAGAGGCAGGAAGACGGCCGGAGTTTTCGAGGGCGGACATCTCGGCCTTAGGGCGTGTTAGCGCTAGTTCATAAACTCTAAAATACTTGATATGGATATAGATCGACAATTGATATCAATTGGAATATATCGCGCTATACTGACATGCAAGACAGCGCTTCCCTTCTGGACGCGCATGTTGTGACCACGACCAAGGATCTTTCCATCCTTGGAGACAAGGGCAGCACCAATTGGCACACCTCCCTCAGAGAGGCCCAGCTTTGCCTCTTCGACAGCGGCAATGAATCCAGGATCTTGTTCCATTTTGAAGAGTGTAATTGACTTGAGTGTGGGCTAGGGGGGAGGAAGATAAGAAAACTGCGGGAAATCTACTCCGGACTCCAGTCATGGAGGCACCGGAAAACTCCGAACCCCTCCTATGACGGTCGAACCGAGTGGACCGTGAAGACCTTTCCCCCCCCCCCCCCCTTTATCGATAAGAGATATGTGGCTAGTGGGGTGGCTCCAGGGCCGTGGCGAGGGTTCAAAATTTCTGCGTGAGTTTTTTACTGGTACGTGTACAGGGATTGTATGCAGGATACAATATGCAAACCCCCGTATAAAAAATACATATACGATCTGCCTATTAAACCAATAAATAGGCCATTGAGGCAGGTTTGTAGAGAATGATCTCATTGTAGACATCTAGACATTACATTAGGCGCCTGATGGGCGAATTATACGTTAGTCAGCTGTAAAAAAAATAACATGGAAGCGCGGAGAAAATCTACGCAGGCCATCGAAGACCACAGAATCCCGTAGAATCGCGCTCGGGCCATTCAGAATATACATAGAAGCCACCAGAAGAGATGAAGAATGAAGAATAGGCTGTATTCTAGAGGCAATTTGTCGATTTTGTAAAGAAAATTTAGTAAAATTTGCATCAAAGCGAGACAAAGAAAACTAGTATAAAATCGGCATTCCTTAGTTGTCGTAATTTATTGTGTCATTTTACGAGTCTCATACAGGTGCCTGGGTTAAAAAGTTACTCAGCCTTTTTTTGACTTCGATTATTATTGTTCAGATAACCATCTCGCCCTTTCTCTCCCCCCTCCACTTTCTCATCTCCAGCCAGGACTTTAAAATACAATTGTCCATTTGGCATTTCTCACATAAAAAGCCGTTCTAAACTTTTCGGCGCCTTCGTCTTCCATTCTCCCGCTTCATTTCTGGATTCCACGAGAATACCTAATATCTTTCTTACACTTGATTCCCCGCATACTTCACAATGGTCAAGGAAACGAAGTTCTATGACACCCTCGGGGTATGTTCAATCTATACTTGACTGGTTCTCAGACCGGTTTGACTCTAATTCAGAATCTGACTTGGTGTTTCTTTCATTTAGGTCGCACCCACCTGTACGGAGGCTCAGCTTAAGACTGCCTACAAGAAGGGCGCTCTCAAGTACCACCCTGGTATGTACAACCCCTAGAGACTCCGATTATATGTGTGAAACACTCCGCTGACATCGCTTCGTCACATGAAGACAAGAACACCAACAACCCCGATGCCGCAGAGAAGTTCAAGGAACTGTCCCACGCCTACGAGACTCTTTCCGACCCCGAGAAGCGTCAGCTATATGATCAGCTCGGCGAGGAAGGCCTAGAGCACGGTGGTGGTGGCGGCGGCATGAACGCCGAGGATTTGTTCTCTCAATTCTTCGGCGGCGGCGGCGGCGGCGGTCCCTTCGGTGGAATGTTCGGCGGTGGCATGCGTGAACAAGGCCCCAAGAAGGCCCGCACAATCCACCACGTGCACAAGGTTAACCTCGAGGATATCTATAAGGGCAAGGTCTCGAAGTTGGCGCTCCAGAAGTCCGTCATCTGCGGTGGCTGTGATGGCCGCGGTGGAAAGGAGGGCGCTGTCAAGGAGTGCGCCGGCTGCAACGGTAGCGGTATGAAGACTATGATGCGCCAGATGGGTCCCATGATCCAGCGCTTCCAGACCGTCTGCCCCGACTGCAACGGCGAGGGCGAGATCGTCCGTGATAAGGATCGCTGCAAGAAGTGTAACGGCAAGAAGACCGTCGTTGAGCGCAAGGTTCTTCACGTTCACGTCGACAAAGGTGTGCGCGATGGCCACAAGATTGAATTCCGCGGCGAGGGTGACCAAATGCCTGGTGCCATGCCCGGTGATGTCGTGTTCGAGATTGAGCAGAAGCCCCACGCTCGCTTCCAGCGCAAGGGCGATGACCTGTTCTACCAGGCTGAGATCGACCTACTTACCGCTCTTGCCGGCGGTTCCGTCCACATTGAGCACCTCGATGATCGGTGGATGACCGTCAACATCGCACCTGGCGAGGTTATCGTTCCCGGTATGTGACTTTCCTTGTTTTCCCGCATAAACCTTGTGAAACTTTTCACTAACAATTCTTTCTAGATGCCATTAAGGTCATTCATGGCCAGGGTATGCCCTCATTCCGCCACCACGACCACGGTAACCTGTACATCAAGTTCGATGTCAAGTTCCCCAAGAAGGAGGAGCTCCAGAACCTGGATCTCCTTGAGAAGGTCCTTCCTCCTCGCTCTGAGAAGGACGTGCCCCCACCCGACGCCATGGTCGAGGACTTCGAGCTTGAGGACCCCGAGAACGAGCACGACCAGGCCCGCGCCCACGGTGCGGCCGCTTCCGGCATGGACGAGGATGACGATGATGTGCCCGGCGGTGCCGAGCGTGTGCAGTGCGCTTCCCAGTAAAAGGATTCCGGAGACAATTTCCATGCCGTAAATGGGGGTTGATGCTAGGCCAGTGATGAAGACTTCGCTTATGATACCATGTGAAGGGGGCCCTTCTCCTTAACCCCGATTTAACGCGGGGAAAACCTGTTTGTTTTCTTTATGCTTTGCTATGGCGTTTCCTACGAAGACCTGGAAGATATCATTTTCTCATTTTTCTCTTTGTCTTCTCGGGTTCCATTTCTCAACTTTCTGTAATTCCTCTTGTTCAACTTTTTCTTCTTTTGCATACAAGTTTCGGGTCCTTGATCCTTGCTTTTTTTTCACGTTTGTCGCCCATTTTATGTTTTCCATGGGAACTGGGGTTTGTGGGAGTTGCGCTGACGATGGGAAAGAAGTCATGAATCGAAGATGGATGAGATGAGACCATGATTGCGGGCTTGGCTCTCGCGAACGGATCTAAAGGATTTCTGTTGCCCACGCTGGCTTTGTGAAGCTCTTGGAGGGGATCGTGGCGTGATCGTGGCGTGATCATGATGGATTCGTGTTTTTTTTTTTTTGTTAGCCTGCACTCTGATGATAACCTTTGAATAGACATTGTGTGTTTACGCACCAATGCATTTGCTCATCTATATGGATGGTTTTCATGTAAGTCGTGTCGTTGGTAGTCGTAAGAGTGAAGAGAAGGAGGTTGGAGTGCGAGATGACTTCGTTGGAAGTCCTCAAGGTCCTCCGTGTTGCTGTGGGACTGACTTCCAAGGTCGTCCTCTGTGAACTTTAGTGGTAGGTATGTTGATCAGTGTAGAATAGGTTATATGAAAGTGTCTTAAATGGTAGAGAGTTGGGTGGTGTGGGCTATTCGGGTAAAAACCGGAAGATCCTACACGTGTGGTCTGACACGACACGTTGCTCATAACCTAGGTAATAATACTCCCAAGAGCCTCGATATACACACAACATGAACATCAGATGGCGATTGGAAGAATATGTCTACATTGGAAAAATTGCCCAGAGTGGACTGCAAATCATGTACCCATCTTCTTCGGGGGGGTGAGGGGATGCTTAGTATATTTTATACCTAGAATGGTATCGATGCATATTATGATGGGGGGTTGCTGCTAGCTATTATATTTCTTCCTCGTCCTCGCTCTCCGGTTGGTCCTCATTAGCCCAATAGTTCTCCCTCATCTACCTCCGCTCTTCCTCGTTACCAGTCTTTCATGTCACAGTGACGGATATGGAACGTTGTATTCAATTTCTGATATAACAACGACAGCTCTCTGGTCCTTTGTAGATCATCCACCAACGGCATAGGCTTGGGATGCGAGGTCCGAGTATGATTCATGTAAGATCATATGTAGCCCCGAGTAGTTGAGAAAAAGGAGAGTTGTGTTTTCTGCGTTGATGGCATCAATTTATACCATGATCCTAGAAATAAACAAACAGTTAGATAGATTCAAGCCATAATTAGGATAGAGTGCACTGAACATACTTGATGCTGAGCCCGATGCCCTTAGAACCCAATGGATGCCAAGTGGCCAGGGGAAAGAGGACCATTGTACAACTCAATCTGGTCATCACCGCCTATCTTGTAGCGGAAGAAACCACAGTGTCCTGTGGCGCAACGGTAGAATATCGATCGGGGATATATCGTACCCGGACCTGCTATTATCCTCCTACTCCAGTATCTTTTGCCTTCATGGTCACAGTCACAGGGTGGGTTTTCGGCCGAAACACCTCGTGTATCTCCAAAGCAAGCAAATGCTCTGCAGCTACAGCATCTGTAGTATGGACGGTCTGCATTTCCATTTGCATTCCATGACACACAGGACGTTCTTTTGGTAGGTCCGTCACATCTAAGACAGCGGGAATTGAAAAAATTGTCCATATTCAGAGTAGAATGATTGCTTTCTGTAGTGGTTGAGATTTCTGCAAGCAGATATCAAGGGACGAAGGATAAATTGAAAGAATCGGGACATGGTGGTTTATTATACAGCATGGTGTGGCTCAGCCTACGTGCTAAGCGCCCAACACAACCCAACGCTTGGCACAAGCATGCCCCCAAGGCTGATTTGAGTCATTTAAGGAGTGTACAGGTGTGGCTGTGAGAGAGTCAAACTCATGCATTGTAACATCTTGAGATATGGTCACATAGTGCTGTGGGGCTTCCGAAGGTGACATGTGCTAGAACCGAGAGTGCATTCTTGACCATAGTCGCAGGGCTGTGCACTGTTGTACTTTCGTCTCAATCTCTTCGATAAAGATGATCATGTTGATAGTGAAGATTATCATCGGCTTGGGCATAGGTTGCAAAGGTTTGAATGATCAAAACAGCGATCAGGGAATGGGAAATGGTGGGATATGGATCTCCCGCTGAGCCTCATCCTAGTTTCGAAGTTCTCAACATAGCATAAGATAGAATCCATTCTGTATGAGAGCGAGTATTTGACCATGGATTCAATCAAAACTACTTGTCTACGGCCCCAACGCACGCAGGCTACTCTTTATTCTTTCCGAGAGACCAAGTGACAGAACTCTCAGCGTTTTGTTTGCCAAACATTATCCGGTTTGAAATCCAACCACAGTATCAATCTTGAGGCAGAATTGAGGCAGAATTGAGTAATGACTACGCCAAACAGCGAACCAATTATGGACCTATACGACGCTGCGCAGTAAACGAAAAGTGGCGTCCCTTTGCAAACCTCAACGGAACTGCCATATTAACGCACTACAGTTCAGAAAAGTTACTTAAACCCTGCAGAACATTATTCTTGTGATTAAATCAGTTCCACTGCCCATGGTTTGATTCATTCTATGAGCAACAATCAGACTGATAAGGCACACCCCGGTTAAGCGTTAGTGTACGCATTAACTTCCCCGCTCAAAGCTGCACATACTGAAAAAACCTCTAGACGCAGAAGATCTCATTGAATTCAAAAGATCGGCACAGAAAGGTCTGGACGTGTTTGCAAAAACCAACATACCTCGTGGTACCCGTGTTGTTTCAAAAAACGCCTTACTCGAAATCGACATCGAACCCGTAACCCTGAACAGTATTGTGCCAGCCTTCGAACGTCTTCCACCTTCCCAGCAAGAATTCTGATTGGAGCTCTATGGATATGCACTTTGTTGAGTATGAGATAGAAAGAGCTGGCAGGAACTACCGGAACTGCACCGCAAAGTGCTCGCCATCTATGCAGCCAACGCCTTTGGCTACGTCTTCCTCTCTCGAATCAACCATCCATGCATTCCAAAGGGTAATTTGGCGTACACTCGATACTCAGAGAAGAGGTGTTCCATGTCATACCCGATATCGTGGCAGGCGAGGGGCTTACAATCATATACATTGATGGTTGCACCTGCCCGGCATGCGAAGATACTGTTCAAGGAAGACAAAAGGAGAGAAAGCGGGCTGAGGTGGCCATCCTCGACCAAGAACCCGCTGCAACTGCAGATTATGGTGCAGAAAATGGCTGCATATAGTACAGAAAATAGCATCCATACAAAAGTCGGAGGGTATGCTGAATCGGCAGCTTAGATTCGTGTGAGTACCCTCCCTTGATTATATGGTTATCTTGCTACATTTTCTTCTAGTTACTACGAAGCCGCTAAGTACTGTCTGAAATTGAAGGAGCAAAAGATCGCACATTTGTGGACTGAGAAAATGTTGGAGGTTGACCTTTACTGCGTCGGAGACGATCATCCCGAATACAGGAAAACGCTTACAACCGCGCAAGTGATGAGACGGGCAGTGAGTTTGCCAGAACCAATCTCCGAGAGCACGTTGGAATGGTTTATGAAGGATTGACCTGCGGAAATATGTATCGTCATGTAAATATCGAGGAGCTTGTCCGAAGCGGTACGATTTGTCGAGTGACAGTGAGGGCAACAAGCCTCACAATATTGAAGCTAGTTGACTTTCTTCAGGGAGGTGAGAGACCGCGTGTTGGTCAATAACGATAGGCACGCAATGAGATTTTGAACCAGTTGTTTACCACGATCTTTGGCCTAGTCTCAAGTTGCATCCAGTGAGGTTTCTGTTCTCGGCGTAGATTCCGACATCAGCGGAGACTATAGGGATAGAAACTTAGTCTGCTCGGCTGTTTGAACCAGGTCAGTAAGATGGGTCCGCGAAGCAATTTATGGACTTAGGTCTAAATAAATCTAGCCAAAGTTTAAGGCTAGGGGGTGGCTAGAGAGGAAATCCCTGCAGGTCTCTCATAGCTCCTAGTCCGGCTAGGTCGGGCAGGTGAGATGATGAGATTAATAACGCAATTGTGTCAAGACCAATAATACTCGCGCCAGGATTAGAGATCTAGCTCTGCCGACTTCACGTTAATAAGTAGAAGAGCCCGATCACATCATACTACAGGGATTATTCCGATAGCGCAAAATCAGCATTGTCCATCTAACCCACAAGTACCTACCCTGACCTCAAGCTTTGAGAGCATCTGTACATTGTGCCCAGGAGCTCTAAGTTCACTGGTATCGAACTTCGAAACTGGTAATATGCCTCTCAGGTGAGATTTGCCGTAAAGGTCAGATTTGCCATAGTGGCCAAGGATGGAACTGGACCTTTTTTTTTTCTTTAGAGAATTTTGGAGCCTTCTTCGTGATGGCACTAGCTCTTCATTGAGAGAACAGCGACTACCCAGGCAGGTCTAAACCTACTTCATATGTACTCCGTATTTACAATGACACTGAGCCGTGAGTTCCCCGCAGAAGCGACTTTGCGGTCACCCTGCATATGCAATGCACCCAAGGACCAACGAGTGCCGAGAACGCATCACGACATCAGTCGCACAGACACAAGGTATGGAATAGAAGTTCATGGCGTGCTCGGGTTAAGATCTCCCGATCATGGCCAAGAACCCGTATCCATTAGTAGGAATGGCGAGAAGGGGACTCGGGGATCAAGAATACGGAATCCCGAGCAAGGATAACGACGCTATATTATATTAGAGGAAAGGGTGTAGCGAGAACGAGAAATAAAAGCAGAAAAGAAAGGAACAAGTCCAATAATCTAATCAGCTGAATCACTAGTCGGTACGGAGGACGGAGTACAAATGACAAGGACCTCGTATAAAATAAGCCATACGCCATCCCGTCTAGGCAAGACGAGGCTGAAACCGAATCTCGTCTCCGAGGAGAAGCGTACTATGCACCATGTACTCCGTAGTGGAGATCCTTGTTCCCATGAGTACGGGTATGCAACCGTAACCAGCTGCAGATCCGGGCCATAGCTCGGAGTCAGCTGCTTGAGCAGAACAGCGCCACATTATTTCTTTTTTGCTTCTTCTCCCTGTCGGCTGTTTTCTCTTTTGTGCGCTATAATGGTATGATAGCCAAGAGAATTCACTTTGGATACCCATGTAACCTGAAAGGCAAGAATGTCCAGTGTAAAGTGCCGAGGAATGTAAAAGGGGCTACCAAGCGAGGAAGAAGGACACTGAGATATCTGATACATCTGCACACAACATGGGTAGCCTCGTGGCACCATATTTTAGGTTAAGGGCGCAGCTCTGGGAGTACAAAGGTAGCACGTTAGTACTTTAGGATATCCCGCTAGACGCGGGCCAACGATAAAGCTCGATGACGTGATTTAGATCTCGATTGCGTCTTTATAAATCTTTATAAAGTGGAAATAAATGCAGGGGGAAAATACCTGCATATTCTGAGCGGATATCTTAAAGCGAATATCAGATTGGGATATGCCTCAACCGGCGGTTGGAGCGCCCAACAAGCTTCTACTGGATTGAGACATTGTTTGCCAAGGTTAACGATCAGAGCGTAGGTTGTAAAAAGGCAACGGTCTCCGGAGTGCTCGGTAACTCCGAGAGAATGGTGTCCCCCTACATATGCACCTAGCAGATAGAGTAGCGCCAAGCCCACACGGCCAAGCGAGACTTTTTATGGAGTAAATGATTTAATGTGAGTGAAATAACGGGTGGAAGCAGAGATAATTTTAGATCCATAGAAGGAATATTTGTTCCAAGGCCATGTCGAATGGGAGATTCCATAAATTATGTAAGGCGCAAGTTAAGAATATCCTTGAAACATTAAAATCCACCAGGAACATAAATCAAACGTGGAACCTATATTTTCCTTTCACCATCTCGCCTCCAGATTGCGTGTTCTGTAAGGTCCGTGATTGGTCTCGTGCCCCCACTTGTTGATCTTCTTGAGGCAAATCTCCTCGAGGCGCGTTGTCATTCGTCATCCGCACATCTTGGCACTACGTTGGCTTATCCATCTGCGGGTGTGGTCCTTCCAGGACGTTGACATTTGAGGAAGTTATACGATCATATGGCTATCAGATGAGCCGACTGTCATGGGGACAAGGAATAGTTGAACAGCTATGTGTGTGACTATCGCTCAAACAACCAGTACATAAGATCCAAGTGTCCCTTTCATTTCGACCATGTCCATGTAACGAGCGGATATACTCCACGACCCATCGTCATTCTTCCAGACCGAGTGGGACCTGCGGATTTGTGCTCTTCAGTGATCGGCTTGGATCGTCGGTGGACCCGGCCGCGTGAAATCCCTTGCTTTTTTAACAGCGTGGACTCGCTCTGAAGAACCAGATTTGTCTTTTGAGTGTTTATTGTTCTTATAATTGCTTTTATATCTGAAGCCCAGCCCTCGCATTACCCCTGCCTGGATTTAACTCCAAGGGAACTAGACTGAAAATTTCAAATCTTAATTTGAATCTGGGGAGATATTGCGCCATTCGGGATCGAATCACGCACCACAATTCTTGGCCTTTTTTATTTACCGCGCCATGCAAAGTGCGTGATCTGGTTTGACATTCTTTTTATATCCCTGATCGTCGGCACATTTCTGCTCTGTCTTTTACATCCAACACATTCCACATTCTGGTGAAGCTTCGTCTCCCGGCTTTTGATACCGTCAATTCCGGTCTGTACAAGCAGGGCAAACATGTTCGGTCAAATACCCAGGACCAAGTCCGAACTGGGCCATGCCTTGGCCAAGGGCCTCGGTATCAAGGTTGCATACAGAGACCCTCTGGGTGCTACAGGTGAACCCGTCACAAGAGGAGAATCAACATTCTCTATGGGCACCGTCGACACATACTCATACAACGAGCCCGAGCCGACAAGTGTCGACTGGATTCGTGAGGTCACCCCGTCTGGAGCCCAACTCGGCAGATATTTTCTCAATCTCTTTCCTTTCCTCACATGGATTGGCAACTACAACCTACAATGGCTCTTCGGTGATCTGGTTGCCGGTATTACCGTTGGAGCGGTCGTGGTGCCACAAGGTATGGCATACGCTGACCTAGCTGGATTGGAGGTACAGTACGGTCTGTACTCCTCATTCATGGGAGTTTTGATATATTGGTTCTTTGCCACGTCAAAGGATATTACCATTGGGGTGAGTGATACTGCGACCGGTCGAAATTAAAAAAAAAACAACATTACTGACCTCATCTCGTAGCCCGTGGCTGTCATGTCAACTCTGACTGGAACCATCGTGTCCGATGTCCAGGCTCAATATCCAGATTACCCTGCTCATTTGATTGCATCCGCTCTTGCAGTCATTTGCGGTGGTATTGTTCTAGTGATGGGTCTGCTGCGTATCGGATTCATTGTCGATTTCATTCCTCTCCCTGCTATTTCAGCCTTCATGACTGGTTCTGCTCTGAGCATTTGCTCAGGACAGGTTCCCACCATGCTGGGCGAGACGGCCAAATTTAGCACGCGCGGTCCTACCTACGAGATCATTATCAACACCCTCAAATATCTCCCCACTTCAAACTTGGATGCTGCTATGGGTGTCACGGCCTGTGCAATGCTGTACATTATTCGTTCGGCATGTACTTTCGCTGCGAAGAAGCAGCCTGCCAAGGCCAAGATTTGGTTCTTTATCTCGACTCTTCGGACCGTGTTTGTAATCTTGTTCTACACGATGATTAGTGCCGCCGTGAACTTGCACCGAAGGGATGATCCGGCGTTCAAGATCCTCGGGAAAGTCCCTCGAGGATTCCAACAGGCCGCCGTGCCCACTATGGATCCTAAGATCATTTCAGCCTTCATTGGCCAGCTTCCAGCTGCAGTCATCGTTCTGCTGATTGAGCACATTGCTATTTCCAAGTCTTTCGGCCGTGTCAACAACTACACTATCGACCCTTCTCAGGAATTTGTGGCCATTGGTGTAAGTAACCTTCTCGGGCCTTTCCTCGGTGGCTACCCCGCCACTGGATCTTTCTCCCGGACAGCCATCAAGTCGAAAGCTGGAGTGCGCACGCCTCTTGCTGGTGTCATTACCGCGGTCGTGGTGCTCTTGGCTATCTATGCCCTACCCGCTGTCTTCTTCTACATCCCCAAGGCTTCTCTGGCTGGTATCATTATCCACGCTGTCGGCGATCTGATCACTCCCCCCAACACCGTGTATCAGTTCTGGAGCGTGTCTCCGCTTGATGCGATTATTTTCTTCGTTGGTGTCTTCGTCACTGTCTTCACTTCCATTGAAAATGGTATCTACTGCACAGTCTGTATCTCGGTTGCCGTCCTGCTTTTCCGTGTGGCCAAGGCCCGCGGTCAGTTCCTGGGCCGTGTCACTATCCATTCCGTTGTCGGAGACCACCTGTTGGATGGCGATGGAAAGTACGGATCTTTCGGAACTAACAAGAAACCCTCCGATGACGAGGAACGCCACCACAGAACTATCTTCCTTCCCATCAACCACACCGATGGCTCCAACCCCGATATCGAAGTGGAGCAGCCCCTTCCGGGTATCTTCATCTACCGCTTTTCCGAAGGCTTTAACTATCCCAACGCCAACCACTATACCGATGCCCTGGTTGAAGCCATCTTCAAGCAGACCCGCCGAACGAACCCGAACGCCTACAACAGGCCCGGTGACCGTCCCTGGAACGATGCCGGTGCCCGTCGCGGCAAGAAGGGTGGCGACAACGATTCACACTTGCCCCTTCTCCAAGCCGTTATTCTTGACTTCTCATCCGTGAACAACGTCGACGTTACCTCCATCCAGAACCTGATCGACGTACGCAACCAGCTGGATATGTACGCCTCTCCCCCGCACCGTGCAATGGCACTTCGCACACATCAACAACCGCTGGACAAAGCGCGGCCTGGCTGCCGCAGGCTTCGGTTACCCGACCCCCGTCGCGAGCGACGGCTTCCACCGGTGGAAACCCATTTTCAGCGTGGCCGAGATCGAAGGCAGCGCCTCAGCCGCCGCCCACGCCGAAATCATCGCCAACCAACGCGAGCAGTCCCACCGCAAGAGCGCGGATATCGAATCCGGTCTCAAGTCTGAATCCAACACTACCGCACGCGAGACCGAGGGCGTTGAGACCGCGTCCGAGAACTCGGACATCATCCGCGAGGACAAGTTCCAGCGTGATATCACGGACAGCAAGGCGTACCGGAGTCGTCCTAAGGTTGCGCTCGTGCAGGGCATGAACAGGCCTTTCTTCCATATCGACTTGACCAGCGCTCTTCAAAGTGCCGTTGCCAATTCCTCAGAAGAGATCCCGCACATTGCTTGATTGATTGTTTTTTTTTTTTTGCGTTTCTTTGATTTGCACTGCATTATCCTGCTTGCTATCTCTCTGCATGGATCAGTTGTTCCTCCCTGGCTTGGAGTCTGATCTGATATACCCCGATTATGATTTGTTAATATCATGTTTGCCCTTGGCATGTTCTTTTCACATTTTCACCCTACTTTTGTCACTTTGCACTGTCTATGTCTATATTGGATGTATTCCATGGCATTGACCATGGACATCTTGTGGTATTTTCTTTTTGGCACTATCCCCTTGGTTCGCGTGGGTTGATTTATTTAGTCTGGGTCTTGTTTGTTGGCCCTTTTGCTGGGAAGAAACGGATTGTTTTGGTTTGATTTCTTCCTAAGGAGATACATACCTCTTGATACATCTATCTTTGATAGAGATGGTGAATTAATTCTACCTTATTGTTTAAACATGGCCTGTGTAGGTCCCTTACCTAAAACCTTAAAAGCTTAAGCGTGAAACCTCTCCGAAATCGGAGGCAGATATCTGATTGATAATCCTCTCCACGCCCTGTCCTTTACCATCTCCACTTCGTCCGAGTCTAACCGCAACCCATATGCTAGACAGTTCTACATTACGCTCTCTACTTTGTCTTTTGTCTGGATATCTTTAAGGGCCATTCGAGCTCAAAACTATGATAGTTTATACATTTCATGTGCAATTAACATTGGAAGTGTAAGCTGCCAAGCTTACCCAGAATAGTATGATGAGTCAAGATAATTTCCTATTCCAACCTAGCGCCTTCCGCGAACATCTATATAATTATTCAGAGTTTAAAGGGTCAAGTGGATCCATATAATTCCATGATAAGACGTCGGGACTGATATTTTAGAAATCTCTTCTTTCTCCTACACAAGAAAGCAGAAACACCAAAATGTCCAACCCCCAATCAACAGCCACAGGCATCTCCCTCCAAGACCTAAACACAACAAACCTCCGAACAACCCAAAATGACCTCTCAACACCCCCCTCCGAAACAGACATAATGCAACAATCCCTAATAGCAGACTCCCAAGTCCCCGACGGCGGCGAAGCCTGGGTCGTCATATCAGGTTGCGCTGTCGTAACATGGTGGTTCATCGGAACATCCTACTGCTGGGGCATTCTCCAAGCCGCCCTCGTAAAAGAAGGCGTATCGTCATCTTCAACGCTGGCATTCGTCGGTTCCCTTGCAACGGCATGTATCTCCTTCCTGGGGATTCTGAATGCGCGCATTATCCGGAAACTCGGGACGCGCATGTCGGCCATGGCCGGCGTGTTCTTTTTGGGGCTTGGGGAGGTGCTGAGTGGGTTCTCTGCTATGAATATTGGGGGGTTGTTTGCTACGGCCGGCATTGTTATGGGGATTGGTATCAGGTGAGTTTTGGACCTGTTTGGTACTTGTTTCTATCTATACTATACATGGATGCTGTTATATACCAGAGCCCATGTGGAGACTGTACTATACTGTTATTGTCATTGTTACTGTTACTGACTAGCACTACTAGTCTCTGCTTTATGGTCGTCTCCGTCACGCCAGCGCAGTATTTCCGAGCGAAGCGCGGAATCGCGAATGGTATCGTCTATGCAGCGGGTGGACTCGGCGGTGCTGTGATTAGCTTTCTGATGAATGCGCTCCTTGAGCACGTGGGCGTACAGTGGACCTTCCGGATTATCGGGTTTGCTACTTGGGCTACGGGTTTACCGGCTGCATATTTGATCAAGCAGCGGGTTCCGATTCCGCCTTCGGCTGTTGTGGATTGGTATGTTCTATTATTGCATTTCGTTTTATCATACTGCCATCATGGATCACTAGACTAACACCGTATACAGGCGTCTATTCCGCGACATCCGCTTCGTCCTCCTCTTCGCAATGGGCGCAATCGCCACATTCCCCCTCCTGGTCCCGCCCTTCTTCCTACCTCTCTTCACAGCTTCGCTGGGAATGTCACCCGGCACCGGAGCGGGTATCGTCGCAGCATTCAATTTCTCCTCGGCGCTGGGGAGATTGCTTTGTGGGCTGTGTAGTGATCTCGTCGGACCGCTGAATACGCTATTTAGTTCTCTTCTACTGAGCGCACTGAGCATGCTGATTATTTGGCCTATCTCGACTTCACTAGGGCCGTTGGTCGTCTTTGTTATTGTCAATGGTATGGCGAATGGGGGCTTCTTTTCGACTATGCCCACTGTTGTTGGGAATACTTTTGGCTCGGCCAGGGTGTCTGTTGTTATGGGGATGGTTGTGACTGGTTGGGCTGGGGGTTATTTGCTTGTAAGTTGACTGCTATAGTTGCTTCTGTGGTTTTATATACGAGCCTGAAGTACTGACTATTTTTATAGGGCGCCCCCATTGCTGGGTTCATCCTCGATGCTGCTGGCGGGGAGAGTAAGGGGATTACCGGTTACCGTCCGGCTATTGTCTATGCTGGTGCTATGGCTCTTGTTGCTTCTATTATTGGGCTTTCTATTCGGCTGAAGACTGATAGGCAACTGCTCAAGAAGCTCTAGACCGAAACGAAAATTGTATGATAATATTAGCATGTGCCGGATTGTAGAATAATGGAATTCAAATACATCAAATAGAATTAATAACAAAATAGAGAAATAGAGAAAAGAGGTCACAACAAGCGAGGTATATAGATGGCCGAGGTTAAGGATCCAAGTACTGCGAAGTACGCCGCATCCACCAGAACGTCATTATTTTCTTCGGCTTATATTCGGCTCTCTTTTCCTTCCTACAGAGGTCTATTATAAGTTATTTAATTCAAAATGACCATGAAACCAATCAACTGCCTAAGAGGCCGAGCTATGCACCTCAGAAGCCTGGCCATCCCTGCACGTCAAATATCACCAATCAAATCATGCATCGCGCAATATAGCTCCCACTCACCAATGGGCGCAACAACCACCAACACACGCAAAAAAGTAACAATTCAAACCATTCAAAACCTCTACAAAAAGAATGAACCCATCACTGTCCTCACAGCATCCGATTTCCCTAGCGGCCATGTCGCCGACACTGCCGGAATGGAAATCGTGCTCGTAGGCGACAGCCTCGCAATGGTCGCAATGGGCATGGAAGATACAAACGAAGTAACAATGGACGAGATGCTTCTCCACTGTCGCAGTGTAAACCGCGCTGTCAAGAGTGCCTTTACAGTAAGTACTCCATATACACATACATACCAATACCACCCCCACCCCCACCAAGGCATAATCTCACAACCGCAATAGATCGCAGACCTACCCATGGGCTCATACGAAACAACCCCAGAAAAAGCCCTAACATCCGCAATCCGGATGGTAAAAGAGGGCGGTATGAAAGGCGTGAAACTCGAAGGCGGAGCCGAGATGGCCTCTACAATCCGCAAGATCTCCCAAGCCGGGATCCCAGTCATGGCGCACATTGGACTAACGCCGCAGCGACAGCATTCTCTCGGCGGGTTCCGCGTGCAGGGCAAGTCAGCCGCGGGCGCTGTGAAGCTTCTGCGGGATGCGCTTGCTGTTCAGAAGGCCGGTGCTTGTATGGTTCTTATTGAGGCTGTGCCGCCTGAGATTGCGGAGATTGTTACGCGGCGACTGAGCGTGCCGACTATTGGGATTGGGTCTGGGAATGGGTGTTCTGGACAGGTGCTTGTGCAGGTTGATATGTTGGGGAATTTCCCCGAGGGGGAGATTTTTGCCTAAGTTTGTTAAGACTTATGCGGATGTTTGGGGGGAAGCGAGAAGGGGGGTTGAGGCTTATAGGGAGGAGGTTAAGAGTAGGGTTTTTCCTTCGGCTGAGTATACTTATCCTGTTTCTAAGGAGGTTTTGGAGGAGTTTGAGAAGGTAGTTGATGAGGTTGCGAATGAGGAATTAATTAGCAAGTGTTGAAATGTAGTTGGATGGATATTTTTGGGTCTTGAGATTTTCAAGACAATCTGTCTATGGCACTAGGTCTTTTAGTCTTGGTATCTGTCTAGTAGGGGCGATGGCAATATTCCAAGTGGCATGCTTTAAAGATAGCAAGGTAGAAAAACACCATGGATATAATTGAAAGCATGCATCAACTCAATTCATACAGAGCATATACAATCCCTAAACACACCCAACAAGCCCACCCCCAGCTTTTAAACAGAATCCAAGATCCCACCAGCCGAAACACTCTTCACCTCAAAACACCCCCAACACCAGCCCACCCAAGCACAAACCCACTAAGCGCCTCACTCATAACACCACCACCGAACCAAACATCCCTCCAAGCGCCCTTACGAAGAATCTTCTTCGGACCATCCTTCCCACCAAGCTGCATGCGTACAGCCTTGCTCTTCTTATCCATCTCCAAAACACCTTCGACCTCACCGGTGTTACTACCAGGGAAGAAAGAGCCGGCACCTGAGCCGCCGGAGCGGTGGATCAGAGCCGCGTGGAAGAGGCCTGATACCAGGATCGTGCCGAGGAAGTAGAAGGCGAAGCCGTAGGTTGATTGGAGGGCTAGGATTCCGGCGGAGAGGCCGAGGAGGAATGAGGTTAGGCTGTGGAGGGAGGAGAGGACCTTTTTTCTTTGTTAGTATTGTGGTTTTTAGAATGGAGATGCGGATGTGGAGTTGGTATTGGTGCAAGTGGAGGGATTTGGATGTGGTGCGGGATAGGGGTGGTTGGGTAGCTTGTGGCATGTGGGATAATCATACGCGGTTGTTGTGTTGGACGGCCTCGGGCACGAGAGGGGTGATTAGCAGGGAGAGCTCCTGCTTTGTTGGTGCCATTTTGGCTCTGGTTTTGTTGTAGTTGGTGTTTGGTTTGAAAGATCGAGCTATGGCGCTCGTTGTTCGTTGGTAGTGATCACGTCTCGAACGGAGATTTGTTGAGCTTGACCAAGATTGTAGGGCTGTCGCTCGTCAATGGCGATGGAATTGTTGCACCGGGAGATATTCTCGTGGAGGGGTGAACACAGCAGCTTTCGGCTTGAACAGATGGAGGTCAGAAGTGGCAGCGAGTTTCTAGAAGTGCACGGGCCACATGGTTCACCAAAAATGATATTCTAATGCTTCGGACATATTACTTTGTACACTACATATTTAAGAGCACAATCATATTTGGGAGAGCATTTAACGTAAATCAAATCAATCATGTTCATATCTACTATTAACCCAAATCCAATGTTCAATAATCCCAAGCCTTTCTCATGAATCCGTTCACATCACAGCGTTTGATACATTTCAAATCCCCATGTCCTTGATTATGCTGCAAACATAGCAGAAAGAAAATCCCAGTTCCATGATGTCGCTGGCTTAAATTCAAATATCACATTAGACCAGATTTTCGAATTTGCCATCGACACGGGCCTCCTTGACCTGCTCAAAGACCTGATGAAGATGTTAGTGGATGGTTGAAAATAAATGTGAAGCAAATCTTACCTTTAGCATCTTGTTGCGTGCTCCCAAAGCATTGACACCGCGGTCTTCCAGGGCCTTGTCATCCAGGTCAACCAGATCCGTCCACTGGAGATCCTTTAGGTTATCGGTATACTTGTGCAGCCTGAGGGATCGCAGCCAGCTGGGGATATCCTTCAGAAGAGCCGGGTCTGTGGGGTCCTCGGGCGGCTTCGAGCTGCCACGGCGACCCCGCGGAGAGCGGCCTCGTGTAACCTCTGAGTGGTCTGAGAGGTATCCTTCACTACCCAGACCAAACTGTCCAATGTTCAAAGAACCCAATCCATTGCCCATAAGAGGGTTGTTGGGATCGTACGCGGCCAAGAATCCATTGTTCTGCGGCGAGGTGAATCCCATAGGGGTCAAGCCACCACCCTGCATAGCAATACCGGGCGATGTTGGGCGTGACCGTCTACCAGCCATAGCCGCCTGTTGCTGAGCCTGCAGGGCTGCTAGCTGCTGGGTATTGAGAAGCTGACCGGCCACCAAGTGCTGTCCACCCAGGCCTGGGCTAGCCAAGCCCTGGGAGAGCATCGGGTTTCCATGCGAGTTCTTGCCCTGGCCATCATTAGAGCGAGCACGACGGTACTTGCGCGCGTCATCCAGAGCAATCCGGTTGTTCACTGTCGACAAAGCTGCCAGCTTCATTGCCGTGGCGTTGGCCACCATATCCGCATGGGTGTTGGGGTTCTGGTGCGATTGCTGACCGAAAGTCGCAGTCATCGGGGTGTTGGTCATAGACGCCCAGCTGTGGTTGCCGACGTTGTATGGCGAAAGCAGGGGGGCTCGATGTCGGGGGCGGGAATGTTGGCAGTCTGGGGGAGAGGCGAGCGCATGCCAGAGGGCTGACTGAACTGGCCCATAGGCTGGTGTCCGGAGGATGACTTAGGCCGAGCGATCGGAGGCTGCGTGTCGGAAACACCACGCTGGGCCCACGGAGAACCAGGCTGTTGACCCAAACCGTCCGAATTGTTGTCAGGCGCCGAGATGGTGGGGGCCACGAAAGAGGCACGGTCGAAGACTGCGCTATTGCGGTTCGACGGAGGTGCGTTGCCAGTTTGCTGGGTAAATTCGGCCTTCTTCTTCGCAATGGCCGCGGCAGCATCCGGGAACATTGCATTGATGGTAGAAGGGTCGAGGACAGAGTTGCGCTTGGCGCCAGGGGATGGCGGGGGTCGTCCGAGGGAGTTCCGGGATGTGTCCATATTAAGCTTTGACATGGCATCGCTTAGACGGCTGGACATAGCATCTACACGACGAAAAGTAGGTTAGTTAGATCCCAAAAAAAGACGTGGACAATTTGTCATACCCTTTTCGCCAAAATTGGCAGGGGAGAGCAGGCCGGACATCGGGTGACCCTGAGACATTTGCTGCAGGACTTGGATAAAAAACCGGATCTGCACCTGAGTAGTCTGCTGCAGCAAGGCATATAGAGCTGCAGTTCTCTCGGCTTCGCTCAGAACACGGAACCATTGCTCGATGGCACTGAGTTCATCCTTAAAGTCCTGATCAAGCGTGGCAGCTGCCATTTCTTCCAATGTAGTTTCGTACTGATCAATATCCGAAAGCCATTGTTGAGCGGCACGGTCCAAAGCATCTTCCGTCGCATTCTGACCTTGGGTTTGTTGGTTGAAAAAGACCTCCGATGATGGGCGGATGCTTCGGGCGGACAGCGGCGAAGGAAACCCAGACATGTCTGCCGACGCCCGCAGCTGGTGCGATCCGAGGTTTCGCGATGAGGATGGAGGACGGAGAGATGAATTTGAGGCTTCAGGGGTGCTGTTGCGATTGCCAATGATATGACTGGCCATGGTTTCGGCGACGTGTTGAGAGGATGACTAGTAAATACAGTGGGGGAAATGATTACTGCAAAACACCTGCAGCACCTGCTGAGTTTGCGTCAAAAATAGAATCAAAAAATCCTTGGAACTAGGATCCAGGCCAAGATCCTTAACGTATCAGACGACGCTGAAAGATCCAGATCTCGTTTAAGATGGCACAGACCAGTCCAGTGGGCTGCACCTCGGAAATTTGAGATAGAAAAATTAAGGCCTGGAACGAAAGGAAATTGAGACTTGAAGCAATAGTGTGTCAAACACAGTCAAGCCACGTAGTCCCAAGGAAAGAGGGAAAGGAAAGAAAAGGGGAGGGGGGGAAGAGGTTAGGTGGAGAGAGAGAGAGAGAGAGGCAGAGGAGAGGAAAAGTTGGGGATCGAAGAAGTTTGGTGGAAGAGGCTTTTCTGTTTCAGGCCGCGAGATCACGGGTTCACCGAGAAACCTCACAACATTCTTTCTTGACTTCTCCATATCTCTGCGTTTTGATCTGGCTTCTTTTTTCTTTCCTGTTCTGCTACTGGTCAATTTTGAATATTTCTTCAGCCTGGTGGAGACAGTTACTATGAATATCTGCCGAGCTCAGACCTGAAACGTTTTTAGAGTGCACTCCAACTATACTGGATTGATAATGAACTCCCTCGGTTGATCCACATTTTTGATGATTGTCTCAAGCTATAGCTTTCATCAACACTGAAAAACTCTACCTTTTGAACTTTGAAGCGTCAGTGGCCATGAGTTCCCAGCATTACCCGGACGGGATTCCTCTGGATGAAGAAATGCAGGAGGGAAAGTCGGTATACCCAGATATCGATGAAACTGTTCCTTATCCATGGCAAAATGATCAATCTTTTGACATTGGGGAGATGCTTGCCTCGGTGATTGATCCACGTTTGTTTGGGGACCAAATCCCACAAACTCAACCCCAAAGTATCAATCAATATCAAGATCCCAACGAAGACCAAGGCGAAGCTGAAGAAGAGCAAGAGATTGATGACCTCTACCCGGATGAATACGACAACCAGGGATATCCCCCAGTATCGTATCCTCCCGTGCCTGGCGATGGTGACGCGTCGGACGAGGACTTTGCCTTATCCGGAGACGAAAGCGAGAGGTATGTATGCCGAGACATCGCATGTCTAACTTTAGTTAATACAATTTTAGTGAGTCTGAGGAAGATGAACCAGCGGAGGATGATGACGATGATCATTCAGCCGCCAGTAGGCGCCGCCGTCGTGGAGGCGGTCGCTTTTCTGGAAGATATGGCGCTCGCGGTGGAAAGGGCATCAAAAGGGGACCACGCAAACCGCTAGAGCCCAGTCTAGAGTTCAAACATCTTCATTCGGGGGCTACCTCTGCCTTCATTGATGGAGACTACGAACTGGCTATTGATCTTGTGATGCAGGCGATTCAGATTAATCCTGAGATGTTTGCTGCCCATTCTTTGCTCTCGGAAATCTTCCTCGCACAAGGAGAAAATGATAAAGCCCTGGCAGCTCTATTCAATGGAGCTCATACGAGGCCGAAAGATCCCGGTGTCTGGGTCAAAGTTGCTCGACTCATTTTGGATCGCGCCGGAGAGAATCGGCAGTCCGCATTGCATGATGTTGCCTATTGTTACAGCCGCATCCTCGAGGTTAGCCCCACCAACACCAACATTCGATTCCAGAGAGCAGCGATCTATCGTGAGCTCGGTCACAATGGCCGAGCCGCAGCTGAGTATGAGAGACTGCTCAAGGACTGCCCACACAGTGCCAGAGCACTGCGCCATCTTGCAGAGACGTACATTGATCTCAATGACGTACAAAAAGCAGTAGATTTTTATGCGGACAGCATTGATCACTACTTATCTCTCGACCCTGAGGCCTCTGATTTCACCTGGTCAGATCTCAATATCTATGTTGAGCTTTTTGGCTATCTCAATCAACCCGAAGAAGGACTTATCTCTTTGAACATCCTTGCACGTTGGCTTCTAGGTCGCGGAAAAGACACTGTGTGGGACGGCAACCACGATGACGACAGAGAATGGGACGCTGATGATTCGCCTCGACGCATCAAAACTGAAGGGTTTCTGCCCGGTCAGTGGCCTCGAGAATCGTATGGACTTGGTCTTCCGCTAGAGCTTCGGATAAAAATGGGTATTTTCCGCCTAAGGTTGGGCGACAAGCATCACAGCGAGGCATTGGTTAGTTTGATCCCAGGTAACGATAATGATTGAATAACAGTACTGACAAAATACAACCCAGCATCACTTTGAATGGCTTAACCCAGAAGATGACTCCGAAGGTGCCCGGATCTTCGACTATGGTGATCTTTTCAGGGAAGTGGCAGATGCTCTAAAACAAGCCGGTGTCTTGGAGGAAGCACTTCGATACTATACGCCCATCCAGCAGACCGCTGAGCATGCTGATATCGGCTTCTTCATGGCCATGGCTGATTGCTGCATGCAGCTGGGCAAGGTGGAAGATGCTGAAAGCTGTTATCTACTCGTCGCTGAACACGATGCTAGTCACATGGAGTCGCGAGTACTACTAGCAAAGCTATATGAAAGCCTTGGGATGAGCGAACAGGCTATGAAGTATGTTAGCGAGGCAGTTCTGATCGGTCGGCAGGAAAATCGCAGCAGCCGAGGAAGAAGAAAGGACACCAGACTTGAACAACTTGCCATAGAGTTCAAGATGGCTGGATCAGAACCCCTTCGTACAATTGCACCCAAACCAACACAGACAGCAACACTTATGAACGCAGCTCCTTCGGCCCCTGGCAAAGGACGGGCGCAACCTGGCGAAGGCACTCGGACTGATGATATTCAATTCCTGTATGCGAAGTTGTTAGAGTTGAATCCCCAGGTTAAAGACGGTGTCCCTATAGCCATTGAAGATTGGCTGGATATTGCCGATGCACTTTTGCGAGATTTCAAAAACAATCGGGCATTCTACCCGATGGATCGAAGTATTGCCTTTAGGGGGTATTCGACTGGTGCAAAATCCAAGAACCAGACCAAAAACGGCACAATGATGGATGAAATGCAGCAAATGGCGGGCCGCCTTCAGGAAACCATAGGTATGTCAACTTGGTCATCCATCCATATACTCTCATGCTAATGTCATATTTAGGAGATGTCACGGAGGAGCCCTTGCAGGGTGCCATTCCCACCGACTACCATGGAATACCATTTGATGAATGGCTTGACATCTTCCTGCAGTACGCTCTGCTCGTAACAGAACAAGGCGAGCCAGAGGAAGCTTATGAGACCCTTGATTCCGCGGCGGTTGCAAGCATCTGGTTGCATTCTAAACCAAAGTCGCGATTGATTCATGTTTGCTGGTTCAGTGAGTCCATTCAATCCACTATCAAGTGATTACCTACTAACACTTCTATAGCATGCGCTCTCCGCGCACGAGATGAAGAAACACTGGCCAATGAAGCCCGCTGGTTTATCAAAGAATACCAGTTTGTCACCGATACTTATCGACTTTTCTCTATGCTGGGCCACCTATGTGGTGACCCTCACCGATCTCTTTTCCATTCCTCCGGAAACATGAAATTCATGCTTCGCCAAATCAAGGCGATAGACTTCACGATGCCACAAGATACCCCTCGACCCATCCGGCAGTCTATCTGGAAAGAACGCGCCACTCTATCCACACGGGACGAAGCCGGTGAGCCCATCACCGCGAAAGAGTTGGATATTGCTCTTCTTGTGCTCTATGGCCACATGCTGTACTCCGGAAACAGTTTCTATCCTGCACTGAACTATTTCTTCCGAGCATACGCCCTGGATGATCAAAATCCGGCCGTTCTCCTCTCCATCGCACTCTCATACATTCACCACTCTCTCAAACGACAATCCGAGAATCGACACTACCTCATTATGCAAGGACTGTCCTTTATGCATGAATACCGGCTGGTTCGGGAGAAGCCGGGAACCCTCCTAGCCGAAAAACAGGAGATGGAATTCAATTTCGCCCGTGTCTACCACTCGCTTGGTCTGGCCCACCTTGCTATCGAAGGATACGACCGAGTGTTGAAGATCGGCGAGCAGATTCAGCAACAGGCCAAGAAAAAGTCACTCCAAGAACCAACATCTACAACAGATGGTGATGTGGTTATGGGCGAGGATAGCCAACCCCAGCTCACTAGCCAGAATTTCGTTGAGGATTTCTCCCGCGAGGCCGCTTATGCGCTGCAGTGTATTCACGTCCTCAGTGGAAATGCAAAGGCGGCAAAGGCTATTACAGAAAAATGGCTTGTCATCTGATATCAGTTTGTGCTTCTAGGACAGTGGCCTGCTTTCCAGACTATCTGTTGCAAAACGAATGCGCCTTCGTTTAATGTGTATTATATGAGTTATACAAAATATTATACCCACACAAGCCTTCATATGTACCTGTATGTACTAGATTTTAGGCCGCGGATGCGAATTTCCCGATCGGGGTGCCGCCGCTTTATCCACAGCATAGGTGATTACTTGGTGCTACCTAGCGACGGCGGGCACTTAATTGTACTTAGTAGGCAGTCAGACGATACCTACTCAGTGCCCAATGCTCAGGTTATGCTTGTAATGTCAAGACAACCTTGAAATGCTTAAGTTAGGTATGCTCGGTGAGCACTCAGGACTTAGTGAACGCTCAGGGTATTCTAATTCGGAACTCAGACTCCAAATATTCTTTTTACATCTCAAATCTTTAGGTATGGCGGATCCTACTGCAGATGGATCATCGGACGTCAACCAAAGAATTCCTACCTAGAGCTGGATACCGAATGGGCTGGATATTTTCAGCCACTGATTCGGGCTCCGGGACACGATGGGTCTGAATGGGCAAGACTCTAGAGCCCGGATGTGATTCTTCTGATAACAGGTGAGCCGTGCATCAAACGGACAAGACTCGGCTAAGGCATGTTCCTCCACCTCGACGCCTTTCTGAAATCATACGTTGAATTATTCTAAATTTACTTTCCGGCACCTGTGACTGAAGCCCACAAGGCCCATATTTCGAAGCTAAAAGGCACTCGTTCACCGGCCCTAGGGATTAATGGTCAGCATCATTATAACGAGAAACGTCAACTTCATTTTCCTTCAAAGATGTGGGCCACCCACACAGAGTCTATGGGTGGCCAAGAAGCTCAGTCAATGCTATGGCCACATTTCTGGCGGAATAGAGAAGCGTCCGAGTATAGGCATTATGGAAAATATAGTATGACTGGTAATCCTATTGTCGGCGGCAGAACCCTACTCGAGAGGCTTGGTGAGCATCTGGAAGAAGTAGGGGCCATGGGCTGAAGGGAAGAGTTTGCTGATCTCAAGCCAATCACTTATGTTTGAAGATCTCGCTTTTTTTGGTTTGAAATCCTATGTTGGAGATTGGAGGGCCATTTATGTTGTGGTGGTGCCTTGCAACCGACTGCTTCTTCATTCCGAGTTGGTCTTCCCTGGGCGCCAAACCTGCTGTTGCAACTGGAGTCCTCGAGATATGGACACTTATATTGGTGCTTCCTACATCCAATATTTGTTGGACCTGCAGAGTCACTGGGTAAAGTTGACAGCGGATCTGCCCGACAAGAATGTGGGGGCCGAGTGCGGAATTGCGGTTACATTGAGATTCTTGATAATCAACATCTCACACCTTTGAATATATATATATATACGCCTTATGGCTTCGACTTGTAACTGGCTCAAAAATGCCGAGTCTGCAGAGGTGATCTTCTAAAAGCGTTTTCGGCCCAATCTCGCATAAATCCCCTCCGAACCGAATGCTTATGTCTTTCGATCTCGTTGATGTCATTGAGTCAATGAGTTAGAGAAGAGCATACAGCTAATATCTCAACGCCTAGCAAATGACTGCAGCAAGCACTCAAAGAGTGGGAAACCATTCCAGCTCTCAAATTGAAGATCCTACAGAACTATTGCCGATCACCTCGGCACACTCCAATTCCCCTACGGTCCAGGAGTTCGAGGAAGATGAAAAAGGCCAGGATACCAATGTTCAAAGCACGACAGAAGAGCCAATAGGGAAAAGAAATTATTGCAGACGCTTTGTCAATATTGTTTCATGGACACCGCCGCGATGTCGATGGAATACAGAGAACCCGAGTAAATTCGGCATGCCTTTGAATCTCCTGTTCGCATTCTCGGGGACTTTCACGGTATGTCGTAATAGAGTATTGAAAGATGCGATTGGGGTCGCTAATATAGTCACACAGGTTGCCAATCTATACTATTCGCATCCAATTCTCGATGTTCTTGCTCAATTCTTCGACGTTTCGCATGAACGAGTCTCATTGATCCCGACCTGCAGCCAGGCTGGATATGCGACGGGACTAATCCTTCTTTGCCCTCTTGGGGACTTGGTTCGAAGAAGACAGTTCGTTTTGCTATTGACGCTTATTACTGCGGTATTGTGGATTGGTATCTGTGTCACCGATTCATTCGAAATATTCCTTGTTCTAAGTTATCTATCTTCGGTCACGACTGTTACTCCAGTAAGTGCTTCCAAGCAAGAGGCTTTGGTCTGAACACAAATCTTATAATTTAAACAGCAAATCATGCTCCCTCTTGTCGGGGATCTCGTCCCCCCAGCTCGTCGCGCAACAGCCTTGTCAATCGTATCTTCCGGACTCGTCCTGGGCCTTCTCTTTGCCCGTCTACTCTCAGGCATAGTCGCAGAGTACTCACACTGGCGAAATATCTATTGGCTATCACTGGCCCTCCAATTCCTCATTTTCGCTCTTCTGTGGTTATTCATGCCCGACTACCCATCCACAAACACCAACATCTCCTACTTCAAAATCCTATATTCCATCATCGGATACTACTGGACATCCCCAGTGCTTGTTCAAGCAACCCTCATGGGATTCTTCCTCTCAGCCACATTCACCTGTTTCTGGACAACACTCACCTTCCTCCTATCCGGCAATCCCTACAACTACCCAACCCTGACAATCGGACTATTCTCCCTGGCAGGCCTTACGCCCATGTTCCTGGGCCCACTCTACTCACGCTTCATGATCGACAAATTCGTACCGCAATTCTCCATTCTAATCAGTCTCAGCATCCTCATCACTGGCGTCAGCGTCGGTACCTATACGGGCACGTTTAGTGTCGCGGGCCCGATTATCCAGGCTGCACTACAGGATTTCGGTCTGCAGATGACGCAAATTGCCAATCGCGTTTCGATATATAGTGTTGCGCCCAAGGCGCGGAATCGCATTAACACGGGATATATGATGGGCGTGTTCTGCGGTCAGCTCATGGGTACCTCTGTTGGAAATCGTCTCTACAGTCAGGGGGGTTGGATTTTGTCTGGAAGTGTCAATCTGGGGTTTATTGGGGCGGCGCTGGTTATTTGCCTTCTTCGTGGGCCGGTTGAGAAAGGATGGGTTGGATGGCATGGTGGCATTCGCATCCGACGAACAGATGCTTGAGTTTTTGGTTTGTTCCACGGAAATATCGTCTGATGATATGCTTTGCACTATAGAATATATATATAGCCTTGGTAAGTATCAATCCTTTCATATAGTAGATTATACCAACTTCGTTTGAGATTTAATGATCACCAGTGCACATTAACATCAAGCCTATAGAGTAGAACCATGGTAGCTATGTAGTTAGATGCGACCCTCGAGTTTATGGAACTTCCATCAATCAGAAACTAACCACGTACGCCAAACTGCCAGCTTTTCTTACGTTTGATTAGTGCGTATATACATTGATGTACGATGACGTTAACCAGCCCAGTTCTCAATCTGAGGCTTGCAGACTAATTTAACATCGTTACATCGAGAACGAGTCCCCGCAGGGCCATGAGTTGAGGAAAAGCCAATATCCATCTATATCTCTCACACCCACTCTCAAGATTGCAGGTAAATAGCTACCATGTATGTAGCTATCGACCTTGGCTATCATTCCCGTACCTTTCAGTTAGAAAAAAAAAAGAAACTAATTAAATTAAGCAAATAAAAAAGATCAACGGAAGACCCGCTCGCTGTAATTAATTTACATTTAAAAAAAAGAATGCATCAGGAGGGAATCGAACCCCCCTCGCCAGTTAACTGGATCAGGAATATTTCCTAATCTGGAAGACTAGCATCATAACCACTAGACCACTGATGCTGTGGATACATTATTTGATGAAGTCATACAATTGATGAACCACGTAAAGATAAATCATGCATATACTTCAAAGCAGGACTCTAATGTCAGCTTAGTATAATCCAGCCCCTATTTATAACCCCGCTAACGTTCATTCTGTATCTATTAATTTGTATCTATATAACCGTAGAGAAATGTTTGGGGTATTGTCTGATGCAGGGGTGGAAAGGTGTGTGTAGGTTTAATATAAATGATCTACATCTGGGTGACATATTACGAGGGCTGGAAAAGAAAACCGTCACTACGAGTTACTAGCGTGGGGTCGATCAGTATTTGCAAATCGAAAAATATCTTAACGACCTTGGGTAATTTAAACATTTAAATTTGTATATTTCTAGTGCTGAGAAACCGTTTCAAGGGGCTGATGTCACTTTTGATACTCCCCCGCTCGGCCAAGCCGAAATCTAGCAGATGACAGTCCTTTGATACTTTATATTTGGCAGATGTACAGGCTCACATGAGGCTCTTCGATTAGAATATACTCCCAAACTTTAGTATTCATACACTTGAAACTGTTTATACACACAACATAGCCTATTTTGACAAGAAGAAAAAGAAACAACAAACTTGTCATATGACCAAGAGCAAGCGGGCCAAAATAACGAGCGAAGCCAAAAACGATCAAATGCATATTAATAAGAGAGAAGACACCTTGCTATGCCAATGAAGTGGGGAGCGGGAAACAAAAAAGCAAATACACCAGACAAGGATAATGAGTGTATTATCCGAAAGTGCCCGCGAAGACTGGCAAGAGGTGCCTGTCATACTGTAGACCCAATGAAGCGGGAAGGATGATGACGAAAGATAGGGCTGCAGCTGCCCCGAAGCAGAAAGACCCTAGTCTAAGCCATAAACCTTGATGGAGCCGCTCGAGCCGCCTGTATTTTTTATCAGATGACCACGGCGTCTTCGTCCCGATAGTAGTCCGCATCGTCAAAGAAAACGGCTGTCTGGCGTCCTATTTCCTCGATCACGCTTCCCCGCCGGGTGCTTGGGGTCTGAGGACGTGATGAGCAAGTGGATTGGGACATGCTATCCGACAAGTCAACGAAGCGCGACTCGCTCCTGTAGTCAGACTTATCGCGCTCGGGGAGGTTGTCATCTAAACGCTCGACCATCGAGTCTGGATTTTCATTTTCTCGCTTGCGGAGTCGACGAGAGAGGATTGGGGAGAGCGCACGTCCACCGGTCCTGGATTCCTGGAGTCCTTTCATGATCGCATTCTCGACCTTGAGTCGGTTTTGAATAAATTGAATCTTGGGGAATGTGCTTTGCTGCCCGACATGTATCATGCGGGCGAGCCTTTCAGGACTAGGATCGGAAAGAATGTGGATGAAATCGGAGGGAATGGTTTTTGGCCAGATAGTCACAGTACCACTGAACTTTTGCAACCAGATCTCGCTCCAGTCTTGACCCATAGGCCGTGGGAGGAGCTCCAGATGCCGAAGAACTCGAAGCCATTTGTTGAGGTCTAATTTGATGTACTGCTCGATTGCAGTGCCGAGGAAGCCACCGCGCCAACCACGGCCCTTGCGGTGTGTGACTGGTCGCCCCACTGTTCCTCTAGAACTAAAGAAGAAGAGGTTGATGTGGGGGTTAACCTGGAGTATTGTTAGTGGCAAAAGAGTAAGATGGATGAAATTAATTTTACCTGGGATACGATCGTAAAGTTGACATTGAAATGTAGGTTCAACGATTTGATAGGTATGTCGGTCCGCAGGCTGCCGTCCTTCCATTTGTGGCCAAACGAATAAGGGGCCAGAGTTCCATCGCGCTTTTTAGTCATTAATACAACAGGGTTTAAAATGCCTGGAACAGCCGCCGAAGCAAGCACGGCACTCCATATGACGCAATCGGGACAAGTCAGATAATTGGCTAGGATAGTCGGTGAATGAGGATCCGAGGGCACACAGGTGACATTCAAAATGCGCCCGGTCCGCTCGTAAGCTTCCCGAAAGGTCGTTGAGCCCCTACAAAACCAGGCGCATTGCCGAGCCCAATCCAGAGTATCGAACCGAGCACCAGTTCGCCACCAGCGATGGATCCAAGTTGCTAGCCCTTCGTGGCATGCGCGAATCCGATGTGCTAGAGCTGGAACGAGCAGCTCCTTCAGCTCATCATCCGTCCGAGTCGCGACTAGTCCCGCCACCAGTGCTCCGCCTGACGTGCCGGTTATGATTTCTGGGAGGACATCATTATCCAGCAGCGCTCTTACAACCCCGAAGTGGTAGTAAGCAAACGTAGCCCCACCCGAAAGGCAAAGAGCGGTGCGTCCGAAGTTCGTATCGAGATGTTTGAAAAGCTGATACTTGTCATCCTTGTCAATCTGCTTATTGTCCAAAACGATCTGTATGCATGCGTGCACCTCGTCGATATATTCTTGAACCAGCTCCTTAGTCCCCGAATAGGTCTCGCTGTATATCCGAGGATTTTCGACGCCGGCGAAGTTGTTCTTGACGCAAGCCTCCAAAAGTGCTCGCAGATCTTCAATGGCAGGTACCTCGCTGGAGCCGACTCGACCATGTTCCATTTCCCATTCCGCATCCTTCCTTAGCTGTCTCAGCTGCGACACCACTTTGTTGACAGTGAGATGGTCGTAGTAAGCGTATTCGTCTGTCTTTTTCCACTTTTCGGTTCCGAGGTGGACGTCCAGCGCCTGAGCCGCTTTCAACCAGTCGGGATAGTTTTTCTGCGCAGATAGCTCTTGACGCAGCCTTTCCCTCTTCCCCCGCCATGTCACCCACTGCTCATACAATAATATGTAGACGCGAATTAGAGCATAGCCGAAGCTCAGCACTGCGAGCCACGCGAATACAATGAAGAGGAAGGGCCATTTCAAAACAGAATATAGCACTCCTTCCCTCGTTTCGTCCTTGCTTCGCTTTGGTGTTTTGCGGCGGCCACGGCTCTTACGTACTCTTTGATTGATCGGGCGCCAGTCGTTGATGGCTGTCAATGGGGAAGCTTCCGGGGCGTTCAGCGCCTTCTCGAACCGCTCGAGTTCATCGGGCTGAATGAAGTCACGGTCATAGTCAGGGAGACAGGCCGGATCGTAAGGGTCGTACACTGCAGGTTTGTTCTCAGTGGTCATGTTCAACACATTCTGAATACACCAATAAAGATGTTGAGAGTCATAGAGGTACCTGGAACTCCGGTTGGGGAGGCTACGTCGTACGATGACGTTGGTGTCACGTGTAGTTTATCTCCGCATTGCGGCTAGTGTATTTCAAGAAAGAGCTACGTAGTCTCGTTTTCTATTTGCTGAGTCATCTAGATCTTGCCCCGCCAGATAAGAAATAAAAGACATCCCCTAACCATGGATGGCTCGGTAGCTAACCAGCAATTGATTCCAATTCAAAACTTTGTTGTTCTTGCAAAAATGAAGGAAATTGTAGATCTACAAGAAGCAATCTATTTCGAATTGAACTTGTCACGCAATTTACAACCTCGACATTCTTTGTATCGGGAGTGAATTAACTTTGAGAAACTATGGCCGGCATCATCCCACCTTGTCATGCTGCGGCATTTTGAGTACGACAATGCCGCCGGCCGTGCGACGGCATTGGAAAAAAAAGTCGCTGGAATGTACCCCTCCATGCAAGATCTCCGGAGACAATTGACATCCCTTCATGCAATCTCTTATTCACGGGCTCAATGCTCAATTAGCGGGGTCATCGCGCTCGCCTCCCGAGGCCAAATGCGAGATTTCTTTTGTTCCGCCTCAAAGAAGCATGCTATAGCTCACCGCTACATGCTGGGCGGCACGAGTATTGAGAGAGATGTCAGTGTCCTCTCGTGATTGGTAGGCGTCTCGGGAGAGTTTGTTTGTCACAGCCGAGTTGGAGGTCCAGGAAAGCCTCCTATGGGCTGGCGAGGGTCAACTGTACGTTAGCCACATGCACCAAAGACCGGGAAGTGCTCTGTGCTCACAATATCGGACATAAGGTACGGAGTAGCAGATCGGAACATCTGCTTTTGATATTATACGACCGGGAGGCGTCATTTCGGTCACCTGATGTTAAAAACGACCCCTTAATCACATATCGAGTATGATTTGCAGCGAACTAAATATCCTTAGCGTCGTCACAGGCTGCAGGTCTGGTCCATAATTAGACTCGTTTAGGAGAGGATAGCCCGAACGCTTTTATCATTTGGTCGTGTTCTCCAATGCTGATCACGTTGATCAGCCTACTAAATCCTTAAATCCAAATGTTAAAAAAAAGTAAACATGCTATAAGCCATCGCTTTTCATTGATACTTTGCGATTGTACAC